TGATACTATTTATGTTAACTTATTTAGGAATGGTTCGATGTCGTAATTGAGTGTAAAAAGATTGTGTTACAATCTGTTAAAAAAACTTTCAGAGACTTTAAAAGCAAATTGATAACCTAATATATTTTACTGCTGGCTGGTGAAGGTAATATTTTGGTTGTTCCACCTGCGGTATATGCAGATGTCATAAGTGTTGAAGATTGGATAAATTTTATTCAACATCGACTTTCAAAAGATTATTCGATATGCAAACTGATTACCAAATTAGTCCAAGTTTATAAGTCTTTATGCAATATAACCTTTGATCTTCATATGTGATTGACGTAATTTCTTGATTTTGTAGAAAACCAAATAACAACATCAGGATATTCGGGTCAAATAGCAATATCACCATCGAAAAAGTAAGAAAATGATATACAAAGTGAAGTATGAGCTTGTATGTATTCACACAGTTATTTTATACTCATTAATGAATATTTATGAACATTTATTTCATACATTCTGATTCTTTTATTACGATAATTTAATAGGAATCGGTGAGCTCAAACACAGAAGTTTCCAGATTGGATGTCTGGAAACAAAGACATCTACAGAAGGATAGATCCTTTACAGATGAAGTAACCAAAAAAATGACAAAAAAGATTGTATGTATAACTACTTTTTTGATATAATGTATGATTGGCATTGTGGTTATATGCATGAGTGTATACTAGCTTGTGTAGACTAACAGCTTCGTTTATTATATTTTTTTCAAGATGATTATGTTGCCAAAGTAAAATCTGGTGAACTAGTAACCTAGTATGACGAAAATCCTTTATCTTTAGCATTAAGCGCTAAAGAAAGGCCTGGTCGGGTTCGTGGAATTGGTAAATTTGTCTTGCCATCAACATATTTTGATAAACAACCAAAAATCTCACGAATGAGAAATACACAATATGAAGCAATAATTGAACAACAACAGTAACAAATTAATGACCAGGATCAACGCCTCAATGACCAATAACAAAGACTCGCTGTTTTAGAGTTTATGTTGGTAGCAATGCAACAGGTTATGTCAGTACCCCAGCCTGATTGCATCGTCCTCATACAAGAAGCTTTCATTGCAAGTAAGAAAGCCATCCCATCATCCGCTACCACCCAATAAGTATGATATTGTTTATAATTTGAATATTAATTTGTTTATTATATTGATTGATTTGGTTTTAATACTTATATTTCATTAAATATTATAGGAGGATGTTCAGAATCAAAGTCTGACTCTTGCCCAGGCTTCCATGGATGAGTTAACAAAATATTCGCTAGAGAATTGTGCCAACAGAAACTTCATATCCATTAAGTCTGTGGAAGACTTATTTGATAAACAATCATTTTCTTTAACTAGTGTGGATAAGGTGAAAGAATTTTGTCAAAATGGATGAATTATCAGCTGCTGAAATTGTTACTTATATGAGGTTAGCTTATAAATATAAATATGCATATTCAATATGTAGTTAGTATTAGGGTGTAATACTAACTAGCAGTGTTGATTGTTATCGTGTAGCTTCCTGTATAGAGAGCTGAAGGGAAGACAATTAACGAATAGATTTAGATTCATTGACCCCAACTTCATTAGTGAGCAGAATGGCACAGTCGTGTATCATGCTAATTATGTGATTCTATGTATGAATAGACCGGTTAATTATTATTTGCTCCCGTACAATGCGCAGTAAGCTATATTCTAACCTTACTTACTTCAACCTGTACCATTCTATGATCTGATGTGTATTCTAAGTATATCATTGTTATTATTTTACACTATCATTGGGTGCTTATTGTGATTGACACCAAATCTTTAACCCTCATACTTTTTTAATTCAGTTAATCTAACAGCGATGTCTAACCCCAATATTCAAATTTTTATAAAGAGATATTACAGTACTTTATTATATTATATATGTTTTGTTTCTTCATAAAAAATTTTATTTACGTTCTCACTATTTTTTTTCTTTTCAATTTAGGGTAATATCTGCATTCAATAAGAAGATAAAGAAACCAAAATGGGTGTCATTACTAGTAAATATCAAATTTATTCTTTTAATGTTAAGTTTGTGTAGATAAATATTTTTTAAACTGACTTAATTTAATTATCAGATACTTTGTCAACCCGATAATATTGAATGTGAATATTATGTCTTTCATTTTATGTGAGAGATAATGTTACATGATTTTATGATCACACCATTCAAGATTAGTATAAATTTCATAAACTCGTTATATATTCAAAAAAATAAAATGGTACATTATGTTCTTATTTTTAACATTTACTTATGATATTTTTTTTGTGGGAGGGTATAAGAAGCTTCACGAAAAAGTAGCTGGATGAAGTTTGTAAAAAATGGTGTGATTATGTATTGTCATTTATCAATATTGATAAACATTCAGGTTAGACATTGTTGGTTGAATGTATATATATATGGAACAAATTATTATAATGTTTTTAACATGCCATGTTGAATGAAAACTTTAAGTTTGTACATTGGGGGTGTTGGTTTAATATTATTGTTATACTTAATATGAATACACTATGTATACATATTAAATTACTGAGTACAATTATTTTAGAAAAATATATTAATATGACAACGTTATCAGTTTTAATTTTGGATGTGTGGTCAATTTTTTGAAATATAACAATATTTATTATGCAAATTCTGAAATGTAATTCATAGTATCATATATATAAAACCAAATGTTTTATGGGCATAAATATACAATTGACAGCAAACGTTTTTCTGGACATAAATTTACAACTGACTTCACATATAAAGTATCAATTATGTTTTTTTGATGCAATTAATGAAGGCATTTTTAGCAAGAAAATTCCTTCAATCACTTCTAACAAAAAACATTGAAGGTGTTTTTTATCAAAATCGCTTTCAATAATCCTCCCAAAAAATTATTGTCTGGAATACTAAATGCATTTTGGGCAGAAAACACCTTCAATAATACCAACTAAAAATTAATCAAATGAATTATAAATGGCATTTTCCTACAGGTTACGCTTTCAATAATCCTAACAAAATGTTTATAAAGGCGTTTTTGGATATAGCCACCTTCAATAATCCGACCATTAAAATTTATCGTTGGGAATATTAAAGGCGTTTCGAGCCAAAAATACCTTCAACCATCCCATCCAAGTTTTGTCTATAGAATATTGAAGGCGTTTCTTACAAAATCGCCCTTAAAAATCCAAAAAAAAATTTACTGATTGGATTATACAAGGCGAGTTCGACCAAAAATGCCTTCAAGAATCGACTCCATATTTTTTCTATCGATTATTAAGGGCGTCTCTTCACGAAAAACACCTTCAATACTCTATGAAAAGTTTTTTAAACCAATTGGTTAATGTGTATTTGCCAAGAAAACGCATAGAATAATCAATAACAAATAATTTGTGCCTAAACCTAAAAAAAGACTAAAGGACGGATCAAACCAACAACCTTATGGTAAACATCCGTATGATCCAAACAATTTGATAACCTTAATATTGAAAGAATTTTTGTAGAAAATAAATTTAATAAGCTTGGAGAAATTTTTAGTCTAAATATTAAAGGCATTTCTTGTAGACAACGCCTTCATTAATCTCATATAATTTTTTATGACGTGATTATTGAAGGCCTTGTCTATCAAAAATACGCCTTAACTATTCACCGAAACTTTTAATAAAAAATATTCAAAGCATTTTAGTCGAGAAACGTCTCTAATATCAATTCTTGGGTGACGTTTATAAGTAACAACGTCACTATTTGAATTTTTAGTGGCGTTTGAATAATAAACACCTGAAGTTTTATAAAAACACGGAAGCTAGTAGCGTTTATAAGTGAAAGGCAGCTACAAACTGCCGCTAATACACCATTTTGCTGTAGTGAATGCAATTCGAAGCAAGTTGATTGCAAATTTGGTCTAATAATAACATTAGACTAGTTTAGATGCTAAGTCACCTATTTCGATGGTACGATTTTGGTAACTATGAATTTTTAAACTCAAATCAAAATGTGAGGTTGCTCTATATATTGCTATAAAGCAAATGAACCACCTTCAGTCATTGAGTATTTCCTCGATAAAAAAATGTTGAATTTCTTAGATTGCAATCCATATCTTAACCTCCCATTTTCTTTAAAATTCCTTGTCTACAAAGGACCATTAACAAAGTTGTCAAATTGAAGATCCTAGTTAGAATTGATTTACACTGGTCAATAGTTTATTTATACAGTTGATCCATGTAATTATTTTTAAGAAGTGACGTCAAGTAAGTCAAAAATTCAATTTCCAATACACGTAACTATTTCTTATGTCCTCAAGCCACTATCTCTTTTGTAAAAGAAATTCCTAGGAGTTTTGCCTAATCTATTGAAGTTTTAGCTTACAAATGGATATGATGGAGCTCAACTGCATTTTGAACAAGGATACTTTCTCATAAACTCAAGGAACTAGCACTGCATTTGTTGAATGGAATGAATAGGTTGATAATAGATGGAGCATGTCCTTTTCTTGAATGGTTATCCATTGGACTGGGTCCAGACTTGGAGGAGTTGCCTTGGGGTATTTGCCATCTGAATAGCCTTAAACTTGTGACATTTCTTAACATTCCAAATAGTTTTGCTCCAAGGTTGCAGTTACCTAATAAAGGACAAGATCATTGGGAAGTTAAAGCATATATCAAATGTTGTTTTCTCTTGCACCAATTGATCAAATGCAGTGTTGTGCCTACAGGCTTAGCTACCAACGCTTGTTATAAGCCATGCAGTGAAGGAAACAGTGTCACTTGCAGTCTCATCAAATATTGGGCAATGTACGTATTCCGAACCATAAGATTTTATAGTAGGTTTTTTCTAAGTCAATATCAAGCATATGAACCCAAATTTTAATTTAATTAATTTAAATAATCATTTTTAAAAAATGATATTCAATAAATCGAATTTATAATTTCTTTTATTTTCAGATTGTGGCGTTTTTTGTACATTTCAAGCAACAAGTTTACCAGAATGACAACATCAGTAGTAATTTCAGTCTCCCAATCCATTTTTAAAAAATCAATTCTTTGATGGAAGAAGCATTGTTTTATCTTTTGCTGGATAAGTAGCAGAAGTTTTGCTAGTTGCATGAAATCAGATTTTTTTTAGCTTGGTGCAATTTAACCAGATTAAGTGGACATGCCGTTCTGCACCAACCAAGCTAAATTTGGTAAAGTTTGAAGACTCCAATTTGAAGCACATAAACTTCACTTCCTTTCATTCAATTTTCACCTAATACCTTCTTTTAGTTGGGCCTCAAGGCTGCTTTCTTTTATATTTCTGTTAACAGGCAAATCGGTAATGAACCATTCATACACCTTGGGGAACTTGGAAGTAAACTTCTATGGTTGTAATAATTAGCCATAGTTTTTTCTTTTTGACATACTCTCAAATTCCAAATATGAACAATCGTAGGCGTTGACGTAGCCAGGGGGTGGTAGACGCTCTGAAGATGAACTGAAGCTGATAGTTTTGTTCATAGTGTTATACCTATTGTTTAAAAAACCAAACTGGTTCAGTTATGTTTCTATCCCACGTGAGAGATGTTAGAAAGGGGTCAAAACTAATACGGGGTGATTGCTTCAGGTTATAAACAGCGGATCCAGTTCCTCACGTGTAAGATACCATCACGGAGTGACACCTAACTCACCAAATATTCAGAATTTACATCTGGTGAATACGCTGAAAATAGATCTAATAATTTTAAACACAACATAAAAATAATACCAAAGAAACAAAAACATGACAATTTAAAATTTTAGCCAAAATTATGAAGAGGACAAACCAAAAATTGTATTTTAGGTTTCACTTGTCCACATGAATTCAACACAATTCTTTGTGTTTTACATGTATTTAACATGATACAATACATATACATAAATTGCTAAATCTAACTTAAAACCTAAACTGTAGCTTAACGAAGGAAACAATAAGGAAAAAACAATAATTTGACAATGAAATAAAACTAAAATCAGTTGCTGATCGTATATCCACATAACGAAAGGCAGTTGAGTATAGCTTAGACATTACACAATCTGATTCACATATCATCACGAATACATACCAACAACAGAATAGAAATATGGAGAGGCAAATTTGCCAATCAAACCAGCTAAAATTCTTTCAAGGGCTGTACTAATCAGCAATATGCTTGTTATTGGTTCACAGGTGAACTTAAGCCTGCTCTTAGACCATGCACAGGTTTGAAGGTTTTCTTTTCCTTTTTTTTTTTTCTCAAGTGGAGAACCATTTGAAGTCTACCATCATGGTTCTTTTGACAGTAGATAAGATTAAAAACATACTCATCTATGAATATAGATAGAACTCGTTTACATTATAATTAATGTCGTGAATAACTTTTAAACTATAATGAAATATTCAATGTAATATTTAAAAAATTTTAATGTAGTACTTGAACTATGAATCTGTTAATTAACGTTATATTCACCGTTAACATACTAACTTCAAATAATAACATGTGATGGATAAAAAACCCTCAAAGTATCATATTGGTTAATAAATTCATAATTCAAGTATCACATTAAAAATTTATAAGCTCTAATACCAAACAAGGATAGGTTGCCTTCACAAGGGATTATCAAACATAAATAATCTACAGTTCAAGCATAATTTAAGGTATTCTAGCTGAAGCTCCAGATTCAAGCGCCTTTCTGACATAAATGTCGATCAAGTGATCAGACTTTTGTGAAACTATGCCTTTTGCTACAATAGCTTATTTCAATGAACCTTATAACAGTAACTTCTTTTTTTGTAGATCCAAGGTCTGTTTAACAATTTCATAAATTTTCTGATGCAGACTCAAGCATCTTCCCGACATAAACATCAATTAAGTAACCAGACTTTTATGAAACTATGTCTTTTGCTACAATAGTTTATTTCAATAAAACTTACAACGGTAACTTCTTCTTTTGTAAATCAAAGGTCAATTTAACAATTTCATAAGTATTCTGATGCAGAAGATCTACTACTATGGAAACTGCAAAGCATACTACTTATATCACTACAAATCATGTAGATTGATCAACTGGGAGGAATAAGATAATTTAGAAACTCATATATTTCACACAATATTTTACGAAAGAAAGAAGAAGATCTAATTGGATGATTGGATACCTTCCTAGTGAAGGAGTTATTTATAGTCTTGAAAAGCTACATAGCATCATTATCCAATATTATAGTGACAATGACTTCACAAAATACAATGACAAAACTAGAACATCTTTTTAGGTGCTTTATACAACAAAACATATAATTTTATAAAATAGACAAACAATTTTAACAAAAATAGACAATTTTATTAAGGTCCACGTGACAACACAACTTTCACACTTGCGATAAGGTTCCACGCTTGTCGAAGAATGCACTAACAAGGCAATTATCTGACCTAGCTAACTAGGCACATATATTGGAAACAATAATTATATAGGCTGAAAACTTAGACTTAAACATGACATCATAGTTTTTCACTTGTGAATGGGACTGATATGGTGACAAGTTTAGCTGAAAGTTATTTGCTCTTAGAGTGAGATCATAACAAAGGTTGTTTAGCCACTGATCTGGATCAAATTTTGGATCGTCAATTTCAACTGGATCTTGAGAGTCTTGTTAATAGAGTGAAGGCTCATCCAATGTTTCAATAAGGGTTCCACTAAAGTGACTTAATGGTTGCATTTTTTAGATAAAACTGAACGTATGGTGATAAGGGCTTGAATCAGGGATCAAGAAATCTTGTACTTTTCTGTCTATTTATAATTGAGCAGTGTATTCAAATGAATAATTTGACCAAGGAGTATGGACTTTGCGATTCATTTCACAAAGACTTTTCTATAATTCTTAGTATTCAATTGCAGTGTAGTAGAAGTGACATAAATACCAAAGGAAACAAATAGTTTCTTCAAGGAAATAGAGAGGTTTGGGAAAGGTAAAAGGTGAAAGGATATCCTGGATGTAATCTTAAAGAATCGTTGGAGGTATCACCAAATGTTCTGAGAATCTTAGTTTGATATTTGAACAAATGGTGCACTTTTGCATCAAGGGTGTTTGTTGCCATGATTTTCAAAATCCCTCCCAATTATAGCCTCATATAGACAAAATACTCCTTAGTCAAATTATCCATTGGAACACACTATTTAGTTATATATAAACAGCAAAGTTTGAGGCAAGATTTTCAGGTCCCTAGTCCAAGCTTTTCACACCTGACATTAAGCTTTATCTCAAAATTACAACTGCTAAGTCACTTCCATTGAACCCTTATTGGAATCCAACAGCTAAGTCACTTCCATTGAAACCCACTTAAAACTTTGATGAGCTCAAAAATCTCAAGATCCATTTGACATTGATGATCTAGAGTTTCTTCTATAGAACAAACAACCTTGGTTATGATCCTACTCTAAGAGCAAATAACTCACTTAAAACCTGTCATCAGATCGCAATCACATTTACAAATGAAAAACTCTAATGCCCATTTCCAGTCCAAGTTTCCACAAAGCATTGTTTTCAATCTACGTGTCTAGTCAGCTATGTTAGATAATTATCTCGTCAAACGTACACTCCTTGACAAACATGAAAACTTATCACCTCAACAAACGTAAAAATTGTGTTGTCATGTTGATTTTATTAAAATTGTTTACTTTTGTTAAAATTGTTTGTCTATTTTATATAATTATTTATCTTATTATATAAAGCACCTAAAAAAATGTGCTACTCTCGTCAGTCCTTCTGTCAATATTATATAATAGTTCTAGTAATTTTCAAGAACTATAAATATGTGTAACTCCTTCACTAGGAAGGCATTCAATCCTATAACTCCTTTATTAGGAAAGGATTCAATCCTATCTTCCTCCCAATTTCCTTTGTAAAATATTGTGTGAAATATAAGCTATGAGTTTCTAACTTCCCTCCATTCGGCTGTCTTCTTCCTCCCATTCTAATAGTTGATTTAATCTATTGTTCTATTATCATGATTTGCGTCGCATAAGTAGTATGTTATGCAATTGCTACAGAGAAAACTAAAAAAATTGTTAAACAGCTATTGATCTACAAAAAAAAAAGTTACTGTATCAAGGTTTACTAAAATAAACCATGTAGCAAAATGCATAATTCAATAAAAATCAAACCACTTACTCAATGTCTATGCTAGGAAGGCACTTGAGTTTGGAGCTCCAGAATTATATCTAAGATATCAATTGCTTATATTTGATAATCTCTTGTGAAAGCAAATAATCCTCGCTGGATATTTCAAAAGCTTACGAATTTCTGATGTGGTACTTAAATTATGAATATTTCAAGATTCTTGTTCTATCTTAAAGTTCAAACAGTACATTAAATATTTTATTATAATTTAAGGGATCATTCATAATATTAACCTTATACAATAACATCAACTACTCAATCAAAACAATACCAAGATTTCTCGTCATTAAATTTAAACGTACAGGACCTATTGTTAGAACGTATTTTCTTTTTCAAGCTATCCTTTAGGAAACCAAAACTGAGGCTAGCGTGAAAATAATTCTCACTACTTGCTTAATGAGATAGCAGCTAACAGTACCTAGTACATATTAGAGAAAATTTCGAACATGCAACCAAAAAACCATTAAAAAAAGCAGTTCTTACTCCTAATATACAGAACTATTCATTAGTCGGCATATGATAAATATCATTCTACAAAACAACCAAGTAAAGGGAAGAAAGGCAACAAAAAAACACACACCAAAGGTCATTGAATTTCCATCACGTTCTAAAAAGGGTCACTTGTCTCCATAAAGCCTTAAAACCATTCGAAGTGGTTGCATTTCATACTCCACCTTCACAGAGTAAAAGAAGAAAAGGAAAAATAAAACAAGGTCAGCTCTCAATATATATCATCAACCAGGCATAAACAAAAGCGAAAACCAAGAATCACGACCAGTGTTGTTACAGCATGCAAATGCAGAGTCCAACACCAATAGCGCTTAACAACCCCTCAGGCTTTAACTCTTTTAACACAGGCTTTTGGCACTTAAGTGCACTTCTTTCTGAAGCAGAAGGCACTACAAATGATTGCCTCAGTGAAGTGTCTTTCTGATATTTTCTTTTTTAAATCTTTTCATTATTTTTTATGTTAACAACCAAAAAATGACCCAAACATAATCTCCATAAATGAAAGGGTAATATAATCTATCCAAAGCATTTTTACTGAAAATAGAGCCATTGCCACCAAATTATTTACTAGGGCAAAAAAAATTCCTTCCACAAAGCTGCTGCTCAACATTGAATATTGCCAGAATATTGGGACCACTGTCAGTTCAAGCCTCAGTGTTCAGAGTTCAAACCAGTCTATTTTGAGAAAAGAATGTTATCTTTTTTTATCTTTTAGCATTGTTCTTTTCTCTCTACATTCTTTAATTTTTTCATTTTTGAGGGCTTCTTCCATCTTTTGCTATTATAATGCAAAGAAATTGTCTCTGCCTTTAGTTCTAAATCATAACAGAATACTATACCTCTGTTTTCCACTTAAGAAACAGTGTATAAGCTGCTCTGTTTTATATATATATATATATATATATATATATAATTTTTTAAAAAAAGAAAGAAAGAGAGCAAGTAGTTAAAGTTCGTTTGTAGGAAGGGGTTTTCACCACACTAGAATGCTGTTTTGCATGGAACAATAACAAAACGGCATGGCATTCCACCACGGTGGGAACCCCTTCTACCACTACCAAATGAAGTTTTACTCAGTTTCTGAAGACAAAAACAAAGAAGCCTAGCTCTGGTCTTTTCCTTCATATCAGAAACATATTTCATGACTTTCTGTTTCTAATTTAAACATTTTCAATTTGATTAAATTCAATAGAAGTGACAAACATAGTTAGCATGATAGATTTCAATGTAATCTTACAACTAATAAATTTATTAATGTTCTTGAGCTTTATTTTACAAATCTTATTTCATGTGCTGGTTTTTCTTTGAACTAGGAAGCTGTTACAAGCAGAAAGGTAACATTTTTATTGCACACCATGTGCAGCACACTGCATTGACCTCATTCTAGAAGATATTGATAAGATTCCTCAAGTAGGAATTCAGAAATGGCAATAGCAATCAATACAAACAGAGCTAATTAGGCCAGGTAAAACTCATTTCAGCACATCCTATCACACATTACAATGATTTCACAAGGAAATGGTGAAATTAAGAACCAAGTTCACTTCTCAAGATTGGGTTCTAGAACAAAAGGCTAAACAAGTCTTTGAAACTATTCTAATGCCTTCATTTCGTGATATGTGAAATCTTCACTCTCCAGGCTATGGTTTCTCTTGTTCAAGTTCTTCAACTTGTTGAAATAAAAAGAAACATTTCACGTGATATATATATGTATATATATATATATATATATAGCTATGGACAGAGCTAAAGAAGCCCTAATGAAAGCTTTTGATGAAATGGAGAGAAGTACAAAGAAGTCAAAATCATTGATACAAGATGGGAATGTTAATTACATCATCCCTTGCATGCAGCTGGGCACTACTTGAATCTAGAATTCTTTGAAGATAATCCAAGAATAGAGTTTGAAGAAGAAATAACATCAGGATTGAATACCGTTAAGGCATATATTATTGAATACTTGATGATGACTTCTTTTTCCTTATATTCATAATCATTCATCTGTGAGTGATGGAACTTGTATGAGAACCCAACTCCAAATTCACAACAATTAGCTATCAAAATTTTGAGTTTGACTTGCAATGCTTCTGGTTCTTAACGTAAGTGGATTGCATTTCAGCATATAAGTTTGGCTCGTTCTCAATTCTTACTTAATTCATTTAGAATTTAGAATAAAAAGTAACATAATTTAATAATTAATTGTGTAGACACACACAAAAAGGAGGAATGAACTAGAACAAAACCGAACAAATGGAATAATTTATGTAAAAGACAAGCAAAAGCTTAAAGAACGGTAACAGACATGATGTTATTGACCCTATTTCATTAGGAGAATTTATGAACTAAATGGTTGACTAGAAAGATGGGTGTACACTCTTTTGGTGATGCCAATATGATTTGGCATTTGATTATACGAGGAATTGACATGGGTGCAGTAGCAAGTGATTCAGGTGTTGGAAAAGCAATGAAATAAACTAGAAATGCAGATGAAATGAAGATCAAAGGTTTCACCTTTCCAACCAATTTTTGAAGAGGAAGATGCCACTGATGAAAAAAAGGATATAGATGCTTATAATTCTAGAGAAAATGGAAGCAAAGGAAACATAGAGCTAGTGTTTAATTTTGATAGCTTTTAGTTAATTATGATGCTTGATCTTTCAAATAATTTAGGGAATGAATTGACTTAAAGCAGCATTTTGAGTTTATACACACACACACACACACACACACACACATATATATATATATATATATATATTTTGTGCCTTGCACCCCGGGGAATTTCCAGGTCCTAGCGCCTAGAGTGTGCCTTGCACCATTGATAACAGTGATAGTGACGAAAATTATGAAATTTCACACCTAATATATCAGAACTGAAAGTACCTCAGTTTTGTCATGAATGAAGCAACAAATTTATAAGCATAAAAATATAAATTGCCACATGCTGTAAACCATCATAATTGAGTCAACTGTCTATGTGAAATATATTTTAGAAACAAAGCAATTTAATCTAAAAAAGAAACATAACTTTTCCTAGGATTTCATGGTAGTTGCAATTCAAAAGTAACAGATAGCAAAATATAAAGAGTTATACAACTCACCAGGTATGCTCTGACTACCATCACCATCGGTCATCACTATGTGATTTTCTCTCACTAGATCGAGCATCTTCATATGCCATTTTCTCAGAATGATCCAATTTTCTATCCCTTACATGAACTTTATTTCCTCGATTGTCTTCCTCCCCTTTTCTCTGCTTACGGCTTTCATGCTGGTGCTCCTCATCCCTTTCATAACTTCTATATTTATGGTCCATCCCATTTCTTTCATGTTCTCTCCCACGAGGCTCCTCTTCATCCCTGCCATGCCTTCGACCACCTCTTCGGTCTTCATAATCCCGATCACTCCTCCTAGATCCATTATGTGGTTTGCTTATCTTACTCTGAATTCTGCCATCCTGTCTACCATTGTCATGATCAAGCTCTCCTCCAGACCTAACAGACCTAGAATAATCATCCCTCTTCCGATCATCTTTCTCCCACCTAGAATAATCATCCCTCTTCTGATCATCTTTCTCCCACCTAGAATAATCAACCCTCTTCCTATCATCTGTCTCCCACCTAGAATAATCTTCCCTCTTCCGATCATCTTTCTCCCTATTAGCTCTGTCAATTGATTCAGAATCAAACTTCATATCTTTTGGATTATCCCTTTTGTGCTCCACCTCCCTTCCTAAGTTTCGATTTCTGGACTTTGATTCTGGCTTCTCATCATGGTGGTCATCATCAAGCTTCCTCTTGCCCTTCATCATTTCCCTATTGCTCTCTGATTTTCGTAATCTCTCTGATCTATCGTCCTCATTTAGGGTTCTTCCCCTTCTATCATCATTCTTGGCTGCACCAGATGTAACCCCCTTTTCTTCTTGACTAGATTGATGACTACCTCTAACACCACGATTATCATCATCACCCCTATGTCCTCTTCTGTCCTTTTCAGAGGCATTCTTCTTTCCAATTATTTGATGCTTTAGATCACTGCTGTCAGACTCATCATCACTAGAACTTGAATCACTATCATCTGTCAAAGAGACAGATCTTCTAGCAGCCCTTTCTCTTTGTGCTGTAGCCTTGCCACTTTTCCTACCATAGGAGGAATTAGAATCTTCGTCATCATCAGAATCATGTCTTCTACCTCTTCCCCTACCCTTTTCTACTTTTTCATCACTTACAATATCAGAATCACTATCATCTTCTGTATCATACCTATCACGTCCTTTCTTTACTGTTTCCTTTTTAAGATGTCTTGTAATGTCTGCATCAGAATCAGATTCACTACCCATGTTGTCCCTCCCTGTCCTCCGGCTCCCAGTTAGCTCAATCTTTCGTCTTTGAACTTCACCTCTATTCTTTTCCCTCCCATCATCAGTGTCAGATTCCTCCTCACTGGACTCATGCCTACGACTAACTTTCTTAACTGTTTCCTTTTTACGGTCTCTTGCTCTGTCTGCATCAGAATCGGATTCACTACCCAAGTTGTACCTCCTCCTCCTCTTACTCTCAGTCAGCTCAATCTTTTGACTTTGAGCTTCACCTCTATTCTCTTCCCTCCCATCATCAGTGTCAGAGTCGTCCTCACTGGAGTCATGCCTCCTACGAGATGATTTGTTCTTGGGAACATCTCTTTTACCAGTATCATCATTGTCTGTATCAGAATCGGAGTCATCACTATCAAGTTCTCTGCGTCTATCATGCTTCTTAGCTAATTTTTTCGCCGATTTTTTCTGCTTCCTGCCACTTGCAAAGTCATCAGAGTCACTTTCACTATAATAATCCTTACGACTCTTCTTCTTGAGAGTAGCTTTCTTCGAATGCTCTACACTACCATCTGTATCAGTATCAGAGTCATGATGCCTAGACCTCTTCTGCTCCTTTTTCTTTTTCTGGCGTCTTGACTCATCAATTTCATCTCCAACCGCTTTACCCTTTTTCTTGTCTGGCTTCATCTTGAGGTCATCCACATCCAAAGCAACAGTGACAGGAGGATCTCTATCCAGAAAGGCATGCTCACGCTTATCATCATCATTATTCTTTCGATTATTTGGCAAAGGAGGAAGAGCAGATTCAGAGAGTCCAATCCCGAGTGCAGCTCTAAAGGTCTCCATCTGCTTCTCCTTCCTAGCAGCAACTTGGTGAGTCTGTGTATCCGAAACCCTAACCAAAAAAATTGAATAAATGAACAGGTAAACAGAAATCCACAATCAATAAATAATCTAAGAAAAAGAAAAGAAAATTAATAAAATGAATTACTTTTTCTGATGAGTAGGGGTTGGTATAACTTCTCCTTCTTCTTCATCCTTCTCTTGCTGAGCTTCGAGAGCCTTCCTAGCCTCAACGAGCTTATCAGAGATCTCAGATTCAGTGTAGCCTTGCTCGGTGAGTTTATCTTCTAAAATCACAAGCTTGAGCTCAATCTGACGTTTGCGGTCGTGCTCTAGGATGTCTTTGTTGGGCTTCTTGGTGGTGAGACCGGCGGTGCCTTGACCAGCCTCGAAAGGCCTGGTGGCGTCGGTAACGCGATTCGTCTTCGGCTTTACAAAGAATTTGTTGCTCTGAATGTAGCCGTTGGTGCCCGACCCCCGAGGGGTGGTCAGTCCGATTCCGTTGTACATTTTAGGGAAAATTTCAAAATCCTAATTCCTCAATTTCTGCGCTGGATTTATGATTAAGGTGATAAATGATTACTCGTTTTACCAAAGGAAATTTGAAACAGAAAAATGAAAAGAACGAGACAGAAAAGAAAAAAAAAAAAAAAAAGAAACTGACGGAGATTTGCGATGGAATCGTTTCTCGCTCTGCGCTGCCTTCCAAATCGATTTCTGAAAATAACCCTCGAGCGTTTGGTTTTTTTCTTTTGTAAGGTTGAAAGAAGCCCATGCTTAGCCAAGTGATACGACGTCGTTATTTATGTGAGAGGTGAATAAATTGACAAAGAAGTAGTTTGATATTTCTCTGATATTTCTCTTCAAATGTAAGATATCATGAATAAATTAATCTTTCCTCTATTCGAATAAAATATGAAAATTATTGTTATCATTTAGGTTTGATTATTCATATAATTATATCAAATAAATTTAAAATATAAAAACTGTAATATTATATTTATATTAACACATCAAATATAAAATACATTTATTTTATTTTATTAAATTTTAAATTATTTATATTTATATTTTTTTATTATTTTCATATCATATATCATAATATATTTTTTTTAATTTTCATATCTAACCTCATATTCGTTGGCATAAAGCCCACGTATCAATTATTGTAAACGATTTGCATTAAAACTAAAAAAAGAGATAAAAAATATGGCCACTACTTTTACATATTTACCTTTTAATATTATTTTCATTTTCTAAACAGTTAAAGAAAAATCTTTCGTTTCCAACAAAAATACTTTAGAAAATTAAAGCTTGCATCCATGTCAAAATGATAGCATTATTATTAAAATTAAATAACTAATTTGTTATGGTATTATTGTTGAAAGATTTATCACACTTAAAGTTTATAAAAGCATACTAGAAAGCTCGTATATTTATGTTATTGAATTTTTAGATCTTTTATATATATATATATATATGACATCTCAATCTTATTTTTTAGTGATGTGAGATTATTTTACTCACATGCAAATTATTTTAACAATCTCTCTCGTTTACTTATGAGTTCTCATCAAGTCCAACCTCGACTCTTTTATATGAGGAAGTATCTTATCAACACCTCTTTTGAGCTAGGCAACCCCATATTTTAGATTGTCTTAGTATATCTTAAGCTCAACATCAATCTTACCTCTTTGTGGGTCTAGTTTATTTCAATGTCCTTTTAAGCTTGCCCTCTAAGTTGATTAAATTCATCACTCACTTGCAAGTAAATCTCTTATCAACAGTTTCTTTGGGTCAGGCAACCTCACGTCTTGGATGATCTTAGTGCATATTAGGTCTAGCATTCAACCTTACCTCTCTGTGGGTGTTGGTTATCTCAATGCCCCCCTCAAGTTTGCACTCGAGATTGACTCAATACATCACCCACTTGAGTGTTTCACTTTTACATATTATTATTATACTCATTACATCTAAGTTAAACCTTTTAATTCTGATACCAGTTGTTAGAAAAATAAGCCACATTTAAAACTCATAAGAATACATCAGATAGCTCATTCATAGATATTGAACAATACTTGAGCCCAAAAACTTAAACTATTGAGTTCATAGGTCCTTCACATGTATATAAGACACCTTAATCTCATTTCTTGGTGATATGAGATTTTTTTACTCACATGTAAATCATTTTAACAATTATATTATTATGATAACATAAAATATTCAAGCTCCATCGTTATTCACATGATTATACATTTAAAACGAATTGAGAAATAAAAAACATTGAATTCTACTAAAAAGATGATGTTGTTGCCTCTTATTATAAGGTTACATATAGCTCTGTTGAAGTGACAACCAACTCAAGTAGAAAATAACATTTAGTAGATGACTGTGAGTATGATTACTTGTCACTTGTGCTTTTAAGACTAACAAAAATATTCACTACTACTTAGGCACATCTTGATCTTTTAAGGATCATCTTTTTTTGAAATCAAGCTTGATACTTGGCAAACCTGAGCTTGTGTATGTACAAAAATGGGCCCCCTTATTTTGACTTCATAATTTTCTTTATAGGGACATCGAACTCACAATTACCTCGAATTGTTTCTCCATAAGTTGAGTTTTGAGGAATGCTAGAATTGAAAGGCATTGCAAGTTAAAAGATAAGAAAAAATCACTTTATGATGATTAATTACCATCAAAGCTACATCCAAGGAAACTTTACGTAAGGTTTAAGACCAATTTCTTCATATTTTAATGTCAAAGTTTTTAACAACTTTATGGCTTCTTGAAATCCATCAACAACCACATCCTAATGTCCAAGAGTTTTATCTACATCTACAACTTTTGCAAGGAAAACAATTACATCTATAACCTACTATAAAAAAAACAAACAAGACAAAATCAATGCTATACTTTTCAATGTCAACAAAAGCATCTAAACTGAGAAAAGAACATAATTTCTCCAACACTACAATGGATTTTAATTGTAAATCCATCATGAAAACAAAAAGCAAAAAAAAAATACAGCATACTGCCTAATTTAAAGCTACCTAACACAAGCAAACCTGAACTTTTTTATAATGAAACAAATTTAGAAAAATAAACTAATACTTTTTTATAGTGAAACATATTGAGCAAAAAAAAACAAATATTTTTTAGTGAAACAAATTAAACAAAAAAGACTTTTTTTTTTAATGAAACAGATTGAGCAAAAAAAGCAAAGTCCAATTTGATGAACAGGAATGTCAAGTATACATATTTGAAATTAAATATTTGACTTTTTGCATAAAGTTTTTTGACGAGTTTGACTAATTTCAACATTTAACAATGTAGAATAATATATAAGTAACCGTTTAAATCATTTCAAGTAAACATTATTTACCACCCACTGGCATTTAATCAATGGAACAAACAACCAAACAAGTGATCCAGAAGAAAGAAACACATGATAAGTAAAATTAGTAAGCCTATGAAATTTTGAAGTAATCATACTTCATAAGAATTATCTATTATAATTTGTATCACAAGCATTGATTTTCACAAAACTTTAACAAAGTTTAACTTATTTAGATGTATTTTTTTTTCAGGTTATGTTCAAGAAAGAATGAAGAGACAACCATAAGTTAAACATGTGATATTATTCCTTACATTGAGCTTAACACTAATGATCTTTACTAACAATTTACCAAAGCCCAAACTCTAAAAAACCACTATTAACATGTGTTATCTACCATAAATATAGTTAAATTGAAATACTTCTTGCATAATGAACACATAATGCATCTGGCAAATGTCAATAGAAATAACTATCTCCACCTTAAAGGCAAGTTAACACATCAGCTATATATAAGTTATATGCACCAGAAAAGCATTTATACTAGATCTCTTTATATATTTTATGGATATGTTTTTATTTAATGAAATATTAGAAAACACGTAAAAAAGATATTGTATATTTCTCACAGATATGTGGAGGCATAACATGTTCTCTTTTACCAATCTTTGTACTTCAAGACCTGCTAATGACCATTACAACCACCAATCACCCAAGAAATCACATGGATCAGATCAAATCACAGTAATATAAATGCAATCTTTTTTGGTACGTAATTGCTAAAACATATATAAAAAAGAACAAAAATACTTAATCTTTCATGGTTGCAATATAATGTCCCTACCACTCAGGAAACATCTTTAGGAATTTCTACCATCCATTAATGTTTCCCATATATCAAAATGTAAGCAAAAACTTTTAACTTTTATTTTTTGTTTTCACGTATGTATTTGTTTTTGCCTTTGCATATGGTGATCAAATGTTAAGCAAATCAATCATTGTCAATGCTGTAAGTGTTGTTGATAGTAAAAATACATATATACACAATCTAGAAAGTTGACAAGATCTAGTGGGATTTTTTTTTTTTTTTGCAAATGTTGATGAAAAACATTATCGCGTGATTAGATAAGGGTGTGAAAATCCATTATCAAAGGCCAAAACTTATACAACCATCATTGAGAAGAAAGCCAGTTCAACAAAAAAGTATTGCAAAGAACAAAGCTAAAAAATCGATAAAGTTTTTACCAGAAGTAGCAAAAAAAAGGCAAAGAAGGTATTGGTTATATATAAACCTCCAAACAAGGAAATAAATATTAAATGTGAGTAATGTTAGAGTTTTTAATACATTTTTATCCTATTTGGTGATTAAAGGCTAATAATATTAACCATGGGAGAGCAAAACTTGGTTAAAACCAAAAAAATTAAAATTTTTGGGTAAATTGAGTTGGTTAATTTAAGTTAATGGGTATTTTGATTATGCTTTTGGTTTAAATGATTAAAGTGATCAGTTTATGAGTTTAAAATTTGAAACTAAATTAATCGAAATAACTGATTTAATATAAGATAAATAATTAAATAAAATTTTATAATCTGTTAAATAATACCTTCAATTTTTATGAAAGAATTATTAAAGACGTTTATGGCCAAAAACACCTTAAATAATTCCTAAACCTTAAATCCTAAACTCATAAAATTTAAAGGGATTATTCAAGGTATTTTTGCCTAAAAACTGCTTTAAATAATCTCTTACAAAAATTGAATAGGGTTATTGAAAACGTTTCTAGCCAAATACTCCTTGAATAATTCTTAAACCCTAAACTTTAAACTTTAAACTCATAAAAATTTAAAGAGATTATTCAATGCATTTTTGTCTAAAAAATGCTTTCAATAATCATTTACAAAAAATTAAATGGGATTATTCAAAGTGTTTCTAACCATAAATGCCTTGAATAATGCCCTCCAAATTTTTATTAAAGATTATTTAAAATATTTTTTTGACAAAAATACCTTAAATAACCTCAATTCAATTTTTTATAAGAGATTATTATTCAATACTTTTTTTGTCAAAAACGTATTGAATAATCTCTTACCATTTTTTTTGAATTATTCAAAATGTTTTTGGCCAAAAACGCCTTGAATAATATCTTATAAAAAATTTAATGGGGTTATTCAAAGAGTTTCTAGCCAAAAACACTTTCGATAATTCACTTAAATTTTTATGAAGTGATTATTCAAGGCGTTTTTAGTTAGAAACGATTTCAATAACCCCATTAAATTTTTTGTAAAAAATTATTCAAGATATTTTTTGGGCAAAAACACCTTAAATAATTACCTCATAAATTTTGAAGTAGATTATTAAATGTATTTTTAGCTAAAAACACATTGAATAACCCTATTAAATTTTTTGTAAGAGATTATTCAAAGCGTTTTTGACCAAACAAGCTTTAAATAATCCAAAAAAAAAAGACAATGGATCATTCAAGACATTTTTAACCAAAAACACCTTGAATAAATCATTTACAAAAAATTTAATAGAGGTTATTTAAGGTATTTCTACTGAAAAACACATTGAATAATCCTCAATAAAAAAATTGGAAGGGATTATTCAAGGCGTTTTTTATCATAAACGCCTTGAATAACCTCATTCAATTTTTTGAAAATGGATTATTGAATGTATTTTTCATGCCAAATGCTGTATATAAACCAAATTTTTACCAATAAAAACCTACAATTGAATTGCACTTATTTTCATACATGATTTTAAAAATGGTAACGATTATTTCATAATTTTTTAGTTAAGTCAAATTTAAAAATAATGCTACTTTTCCCATGGATTCCTAGAATATCACAAGAGATGAGTTTTTTATTCTAAATTTTTAGGTATTATTAAGAATCTGTTAGTTTTCCTTAAAATCAAATTACCTTAAATCAAACGTTGTAATCAAATACCCAACAATAAAATTTTTGAAAAAAATGTTTGAATTTCCCTGAACCAAACGTCCTCTTAAGGTTTAATATAAGAAACAAAAACTAAAATCAACTAACCCAAAAAAAGAGATCGAAATCGATCACTTTAATTCGATTCGATTTTTTCAAATTTTCTTATATACATCGATTGGTTCGGTTTTTATAGTAGACTAAGTTGGTTAAATTGGTTATTTAGTTTTTACAACCGAATTAACCAAACTGACCATTTGCTCAGTCTTAAATTGTTAACTTGCTTAAATATATTTTTATTATATATTGGTTTACCAAATTAAAAATTGATATCAATTGATGGTCAAACAAGCAAAAACAAGAAGAAAATGTTGATTTTGTGGTTACTACTTAAAATAGTCAAATTGTTTGTTTAAAAAAAGCAAGGAAAAACTAAAGATGTGATAAAATATGATATTCTTTATTTTACATTTTTGAATTGTTTTAATTATATTATGATGAGTTAAAAACAAGTTCTCTATAAAAGGTTAAACCACAAATTTAGTTTGTTGATGTGATATAGGAATTGTTAAAATTTTATGAATTTTAATGTTCAACCCAAGTTTATGCAAATCAAGTTTTTTTAAGAAATACAAGTATAATTGTTAGAAAATAACAATATATTCCATTCATTTAACTAATCATTGTACATGTTAAACAAAAAAACTTAAATCATGATTCACATCATTAATAACGATTGACATTCAAACCATTATCAATAATACAAAATCTTTTTTTTTTTAATTTTTTGTCCAAATGAAAAGAAACATAAAAAAAAAAAAACAAATAAACACATTGACAAAACCACTATCAATTTCTAGCTCTTGCCATTGCTACTATGCTTATTGCTTTATTTCAATTTCAACATTAAAATATTAAGTTTTCTCTTAAGTTGTAAATTTTATTTAATAATTTCAACTTCAATATAATTCATAGCATTCTTTTTCAAGATTGACATTTCATTTTTCAAAATTTTTATGTGATCATATAAAAACTTTTCTTTATTTTTTTAGTTCCAAAATAATCTCTCTTGTTGTATTAGAGAATTTTAAAATTCATGTCATTAATGAAATCCGCAAACAATATTCCATAATCAAAATAAATTTTGGTATCATCAACAAATTTAGCACAACCAATATTTATTGTTTTTTATAAAATAAAATGATAATTACAGTATATTATGGCTACTCATAAAATTTTTTACTGAGATTTGAGATAGTCTATAAAGTCCACCTAAATGCCTTGATATTGTAATGACAGAAAATGTATTCCTTTTCAAAATATTATTTGACGAGATAATTAGTTGTAATTAGATTATATGACCTAATATCTAAAGATCCACCCTTTTATACATTGCAAAAAAAAAAAAAAATCCAATATCAAAATCAAAGGAATCATGAAAATGAAGTAGAAGTAAATGAAAATTTTCTACAAATCTAAATTAACCATGAAGAGAAAATACTAGATGAATTCATATATTTAAGAATTTGACGTGCTTTTCATTTAGGGTTTAGTTTACTAATTTTTTTTAAATAAAAATGTTGCTAAAACAAAAAAAGAAAAACCTAGAAATAAATAAAAGAAAGAAAAAACCTTTTGAGGATAAAAAATAAAAAAAAATGCAAAAAATTATAAAATTATGATGGATAACGTATGTTAACATCCATTTTAGTAAAATCATTTGCCATCTATCACCATTATTTAAAAAATATTTTATTTGAGCAAACTAAAAAACATTTATTCTAATTTGGACTCTCTAAAATATATAGTAGTTTTAAGAATCATCCAAACTTAAAAGATAATTTACTATTTATTATAATTTATTTATAAAAATATATCACCTATAATTTTTTATTACAATATTATAATTATCTAATCAGAATAAATAATTATATAAAATCAATCATTTATAAATGTAGATTTCATATAAAATTTTTATAATTCTCACATAATTAGTAATTAGTTAATAGTTAATTGTGGTACACGAATGATCACAATGGAAATGCTCTTTATTTATGTATTTGTAATATAACTTTGTTAACTTTTCAAAAATTCTATCCAATCAAATTGTTAATACTTAATTTACTATTTTTGTTAAAAAAAGTTTTTGTGTTCAAAAGCTCCTTTTAGCTTAACATAAATGCTAAAAAACAAAAAAAAAAAATGATTTTTCAGTTTAAAAACTTGATTTCCCAATCTGAACAAAAAAAAAAAATGGAATAAAAAAATCATATTATTTATATATTTTTAATATTTTATTGTTTAATACACATTTTAACTACTTCACACTCTTTTTTCACAAAATTTTATTAGAAATGAAGAAAAAATAAAAAATTGATTTAAAATCATAATATTTGATTTGATTTGGATTAAGTTTAAATATTAAATGTATATATTAAGTTTAAATTAAATTACAAATCAAAAAATTAAAAATTAAAAAAAAGAATCGAATGATATGTTTTTATTAATTTTTATAAAATAAAAATAATTATTTTATATCTAAAACTATTTAAATATATATTAAAATTTTATATTAAAATAATATATAAAAATAAAAAATAAAAATTTAAAACTAATAAACTAAACTCAATAAAATTTAATTTGGATAATCATATAAAAAGTCTATTCAAATTTAAATTATTTAAAAATTTATAATATTATACATTATAAAAAAAATCAACTTAATCTAATACGATGCAACGCGTTCTAACGTTTTCCTAGAGCACTTTATTAACATAGTTTTCTGGGTCCAAATTTTTTCAAGGGAACTGCAATTAATCAACTTTTTGCAAGGGAACCGAAATTAACCCAAAATTAATCAATTTCTCTTTTCTTGCACCTCGCGAAACTCTCATCTGCTTTTCTCGGAGTGAAATGGCCGACTTCTTCTCCAAGGCGGAGGTGACGAGCAGCGGCCGCCCCGTCCTCCTCCGCAGCGAAGTCGAATGCCACCTTCTCTCCTCTGTAGACATCGAATCTGAAGACAACCACCACTTCTACCCCTTAAAATCGGGCCTCCTCATACTCACCACCCATCGCCTCCTCTGGCTCCCTTCTTCATCCTCCTCCTCCACTTCTTCAGCCGCAGCCATCCCCCTTCACGCCATTTCTCACATCTTCTCCACCAAAAAATCTCTCAAGTCCATGTTTCACTCCCCAAGGATCCGCTTCCAAGTCCTCGTCTCACCCGATGGTCGGCTTTTTGATCCGGCTTCTGGGTCTGGGTCCAGTTCTGGTTCGGGCTCGAAATCCATTGTACTGACGGCGGTGGTTAGGGGGAAGGGGGACTGCGATGGGTTTTTGGGGAAGCTTTGGGAGAGTTGGCGGGCGAGAGCTTGGGAGTGTAATGAGACTTCGGGTTCCGGCTCAGGTTCAGGTTCAGGCACAGGCACCAGCACGGCCACGAGTGGTGGGTTGTACTCGAGTGACGGGTCCGTGAGGATGGTCGGCGTGGCCGGAATTTTAAGGAAAGAGCAGGAAATGTGGGAGAGTACTGATAAGAGTTTGCAGGATGCTTTTCAGGACTTAAATGCTCTCATGGTATTTCAGTTTTTTTGTTATTTTTTAAGTTATTGTTGCAAATTATGAGGAATTTAATTCAATGTAACAATTGTATGCTAAACAAGTTTAACCTTGTAGTTGTTAACATTTATATGAAGTATAAAGTCATACAAGAAAATTGTTTTCTATATAACATTGAGGTGGCAGGTTTCTTGACAAGAAAGAAAAATATATGGCACCTTCTTGTTTTGATTTCTTTAGAGAAACTAGATTAATTTCTGTTATGATTGTTTGTGCAAATGATTGAAAAGGGTAAACGACAGTGGAATGAGTCCTGGAGTGTCCAACCCATAATAATTAACCATAATATCTCTATCATTAGTTAGGACATAAAAGATTGACTTTTTTTGGTACAAAGGAGGTCATAGCATAGGATAGAGTAAGGGGTTGCAGGTGTTGGAATTTGAACCCTAGACCTGTTGGATGCCACCTTTTAAGAGTGGTTGCATGAACCGACTGAGCTAAGCTCTGGGTTCAAGATTGGAACTTTTATGTCAATGGAATGGATAAAAGGACTTGGCTAGGTAAGTTCTAAGCTATAGTTAATGATTACGATGTTAGTTGTCTCTCTTCTTTTTCTTATATTCTGATTTAGAACTCTTTCTGACTTTCAGAGTAAGGCTAAAGAGATGGTGATGCTAGCAGAGAAGATGAGGCAAAAGCTTTTGTCTGGGTCAAGTTCTCAAACAAGTGGAGCAAATGATGAGGATATGGGTTCAAAAGAAGAGATGCAGGATTGGTTGTTGAGTGTTGGTATAATATCCCCAGTCACTAAGGAGTCTGCAGGTGCCCTATATCATCAACAATTATCCCGTCAGGTTCTCTTCTCTTTTTTTTTTTAATTTATCTTTGTTGTTAACTTTTATGTTATTTGCTTAGTAATTTGTCTGAAGATAATACTATAGAATATATTTTATCTTTTGTTAATACATTCAATGCTCATAGAATTTAGGAATTTTTAGTTTATTTGGCTGTAAATAAATCCTTAGAAATTAGAGAAAATTTAAGTTTGATGAGTTGGTGAGTTTTGACAGATGAGTTTCTTCTGTTTTCTTTTTATGTTTTTTAAGAGTGGGAATGTTGAAGATTATGGTTGAACTTGTTGAACTTGTAAACTGAGGAAGGATTAGGCGTAAATGTGGAAACTTGATAAGAAAAGTAAAAAATAAAAAAAGGATGTAACAAAGAGAAAAATGGTTAACTGGGTCTGTTTAGCAATGTAGTTGCCACATGGAGGTTGAAAGGGTGCCAGATCATCATGGGGATTTATATTTAATGGAACAGAATGTTATTTCACAATTGGTGTTAGTTGAAGGACCGTTATTATTATACAATCACGAGTTGAAGGATTCTTTTGGTCAAAAATTTACTAGAGGCCTCCCAACACAAACATAAAGCTAGATTTGAGGGACCAACACTACTCTTAATCCTAAACTCCTTGGTGCTTTATTTATGATAAGTACAATCTATAAAGTAAATGTAATTTTTTCTAGATAAATGATATTTTACAAATCTTGCATATATTGCAAACACCTTTGAACAAGTAGATGGGAGTTGTATTGTGGGAATTACACTCAAAGTGATCACTTATATTTTTAAAAACACATTTGAACAATTAAATAATTTTAATGAAAAGCAGAAAAAAGATTGATTATTTGAAGTTGTCCATGGGCCAAGTAGTTCTGGAGTAGTGCTGGGCTTTTATGCCATATTAACAATGAAAGTCTTTAGCCAACCCCAATCTAGCCCAAAGAAAGATGCAAAGACATAGAAACATAATATAAATAACATATTTTCCTATTATGTATTATAAAGGAATAATAATATTTTTGGTCTTCTAGCTATGAAAAAAGGGTCATTTGGTCTCTCATCTTCTATTGGAGTGAATTTGGCCCTCATGCTTTTATTTCTGGTCAAATTGGCCTGATTTTAACGGATTTTAGTCACATGGCAGCATGCGACCAACAGCTCCATTTGGATTGCCATGTGGATGACATATTGACATCCAGCGCACACATGTTATTCCACATGGCAAGTAAAAATGCCATGTGGTTCGATGACATGGCTACCTTGCTCTGGGTAAAAAAATTTTTCTTCAAAATTAATAACCTCTTTTCTCATTTCTCCTTCCTTTGCTTCTTCTCTGGTTTTGGTCTGCGTGGATGCCCCGTCTAGGTTGGGTTTTGTTGAATCTTGGATCTTTTTTATTATTAGTTTTTTTGAGTCCCAGTCCCATGTTTTCCGAATTTTTAGACACAAATGTTTTTGCTTCTTGTAAATTGTAGAGCATCATGCAAAAGTAAAACCGACAAACCAACATTTGCATATTTAGTGCACAGTCTCTTTTAAATTTCCGTGTCAGAAAGGTTACTTTTTACTTTATCTTGCTATGAACCTTTCTATACTCCATTGGTATCAATGTTTGTCTCTTGTTCCTTTCACTGGTGATGAGAGGCATGATGGCCATTTTTTTTTTTTAACTTTTAGTTTTTAAAGTTACAGAAATTTGGAAGTGCATAGGAATAAATGGTAGTTATGCTATCCAGTATATGATGGTCCTTTATATTCAGACCTACTATTAAACTAGTTTCAGTTTCGAGATACATTCATTAGATTGCAAGTTGTCACTGTTTTGTAAGAAATTGTTTTGTTCTAGAAGGATAGAGGATTGTAGGATATAATACTACAAAACATATTATGTCAATTAATTATGTCAATTGAAATTGTTTGTATATCTTGGCTAGGAAGTTATTTTAGTGTAGCAAAGTGCCTAGCAATACCTTATGTTCTGTTATCATAATTGAATTGGTAAATGACTTGTCATGAGTAGATTGACTATTGATTTTTTACTAGATTTTCTTTTGAGAGCTAGTTTTGCTTTTATTTCTTGACACGTCAGCTGGCAGATTTTGTGAGAACTCCACTACAGAGAGCAGGTGGAATGATCAATCTTATAGATGCCTATTGTCTCTTCAATCGTGCTCGAGGCACAGGTTTGGTTTAACACTAACTTTGTCTCTTGTTTTTTATAAATAATATGGTTAGTGTATTTAGTTTTGTTTGGTTACATTTTGAACTTTAAATTTCTTCCTTTTTATTTTTGTTTTTTTGAAAATATTGTGACCTAAAAAATAAGTGTTCTTGTTAACATGGGTCTCCTTTCTTTTAAAAGAAACCTTCAAAAACATTAGTAGCAATAAATCTCAACATAGTTAACATTTAAAGCAACAACATTTAATGGAGGTCCTGGACAAGTGCTATACATTTTTGTCCATGTAACATTTCACAGGTGTGGTTTTGACATTGAGTTCCCACTATCTTTTTCCTAACGTTATAATTTGGCCAAAGAAACGAAGGAGGCTTTGAGGTAGTTAGATTTGTTTGAAGTTATCTCTATATTCCATAGATGCCAAATTTGTTACATCTGTTCCAAACAAAAAATCTGACAGAAACTTTGAATTTTCTGTTTCCAACAATGTTTAATTCTTCCGAAGTTGCAGCGAAAGAGAAAATGTATGATGTCCATCAACATATTCTTCTTATTCTCAATCCCAGATTGTGGCATTTATCTTTCGCTTGGCTTGCATGCTATTCTTAATAACTATTGGCATTTTCAACTTTGCTGAAATGAACCTTTTTTTATACTAAATTCATGTTGCACACAGAAATCAATTGTGAAAATTTCTTTGACCTTAAAAGTCTTATCTTCTGCTTGATTCTAAAATTTTCCTGTCTAGAACTTACTATAGCCTTTTCTTTCCATTCCTCTAACATTGATGTTTTATAGTTTTTGATATATTTTTAAGCAGAGAGGACATTCAAAGTATGAAGTATTATTCTGGTATAAATTGCCTTAGATGTTTCGAGTCTCTGCATATATTTCATTCCTCTCATAACCAGTTGTTTTTTTTTTCCTTCTCTTAAATTTCCAAAATTATGCAGCGGTTTTGTCTACTTTCAGCACCTTTAAAACGTAATGAAAATAAATGGCTTCTTTGCATCTCTTTTTGTTCTCAGAATTGATCTCTCCGGATGATATGTTACAAGCATGTTCCTTGTGGGAGAAATTTGATGTGTATGTATGATGCTATTTTCATTTTCTTACATTTATATGATGATATCAGGAAGACATACTTAGGTGTTTGAACTCTTTAATTATATTATACTTTGTTAACAGTCCAGTGATGCTTAGGAAGTTTGATAGCGGAGTCATGGTCATCCAAAACAAGTCCCATAGTGATGAGGAGGTAATACATTTCAATTTCTCTGTCTTATCTTGATAAAATTCTATTTCGGTTTTATTTAAAAGAAATTTCCTTATCTTTTCCTTTTCTTTGGCCTAATGGAAGCCTAATGGAAACTTGCCAAATGAATTCAATGCTGTTGATAGCTGTTGTACTAAAGAACTTACCTGTGTTTTCCATAATAGTTTCCTGGAAGTTAGCTTTCTGAAAGGGAGAATTATGTATGAAACTGAAGGAATGCTAAATCACTTTATTTCTGAAGATATAATACCCCTAATGTCTTTCTTACTTTCCAGTTTTCTTTCTGTCCTCTACCATAGTAATAAAAGCTCAGGAGATAGATTGATGTTGGATTATCCCCTACGAGACATGCCAATAGTTAGAACTTTAAACTTTCAACTTGGAGGTCTTAGGTTGGAATCTGTAGGACTTGCAATTATGGGATGGGAGAGGGTTATCACATGTACCAAAAAATGAAGATGGATGCTAGATTCTTCAGTAGAATTGAACCCCACTATCCACATTTTCCCTTCTTGTCTCCCCAGCTGAAAGGGAAAAGTAAAAGTAATATCTAATCCCTTCTGCATTGACATAATGAAAGGATATGGATAGGAAATTAAATGTATTAAAAACTTGTACTCTTTGACATTGGACAGAGAGTATGTTTTCTTGTGTTATCTTCGAAGTCCATTCATGTGAATTTAAAAAGTACAATGGTAAATGAGGCTGTATGATATCAAATTTCGATGTGGCCCTGTGAGAAATTCTTGAGGCTTTGTTGAAGTGGAAGGAGTGTCCAAAGCAGTCAAGATGATTATGTCCAGTGGATTTCGAAGATGCTGTTTGAAATTTTTTTTGTGTATTTAAGTAGTAGATTCACCTTATGGGAGCTATTCTGTGGGCGTTCTTGATAACTTGGTTTCATCTCTTCTCAACTTAATTAGAGATTTTGGTGATTTGTTTTTTGGCCAGAAGATTTTGTTGTTTAATTGCTACAGATACAATTTCAATAACTTAACAGGTTGAGATGATGGTACTTGTTCAATGTTGATTATCATGCTTGTATAAGGGAGGCCTTGTTATGCGGGTAAAAATGGTGCTTGTGTTTGTATTATTTTGTTAGCTCTACTTTGGTGATTAGGGTTGTGTTGCATATTTTGTGATAAATTTTTGTTGTGGCGGCCGTCTTGGCTTAGAGATGAACCACTATGGTTATTGTATCCATAATTATTTAGACAAACTATTTAGTGTGGAATTAGAACCATAAAAGAAAAACTGAATTGAGGCTAAAATTGATGTAGATTGAAGCTGGAACAAGAATCCTAGGTTTTAGGGTTGTAGAACCAGTAACAAATGATATCCTAGTGTATTACGGCTGCTAAGTGATCACAAAGACTCGATTCCATGAGAATTACCACAGAAGCTTGATGTAGCCTCATTCAGAACCACAATTATTACTCACGATAAATGAAAATATATTATATCACCTTAGTTGATTTAATATTAGAAAGTAGTCGCTTGTAACTGTAATTCTCAAATTCTGATTGTGGTGATGCCATGTCAAGGTTCTATGAATTCCCACTACTTGAGTCTGTAAGATCGTTACTTTCCAATAGAGTATAAAAAGGATTGTATGAAATGATTATGCCATGTGACCAAAGATCCTTCTGTTCAATTCTTACATATGATTTGTTTAAAAAAGTTAACTATTTTGTACACATCATATGTGGGTCATTAGATAGGGAAATATTAATCATTAATACCTATTAATGATGTTCAAGAAGTTAGTTGACTTTTTTTTTATTTTTTTATTTGAGAAATGGTGTTTCAAACCTTGCTCTTTGAGCAGGGGAATAATGCACCAACTATTAAACCAAAGGCTTGAGTTTAGTAAGTTCACCTTTTTAAAAACATAATTACATGCCAAAATTTGAATGACAATGATATATTCTGATAGATGTTAATTGTATCATACAATCCTTTCTTAGTAGACTATTTATCCCTAGCATATCCATACACTTAATACCCCAAAAAATTGGAAAACAAGGAAATTTGAAGGAAAATTTTTTCTTGGACGCCTTCAAAATTTTTCCCTACACACCTTTCTCAGCGACAGAAAATTTGTTGATGAAGAGTGATTTGTGGAATAAAATTTCTAATTCTTGGTTGAATGATTGTTTAGTTACATATATTGAGAAGGATATATTTGATAGTATCAGTAATGATGCAATTATGCTTTCTTTTCAAGATATGAGAACTTGTCATGGACAATTGTAATGCCACAGTAATATATTATTTAAATTTTCTGTTTACAATTTTTTTTTTTATATATATTATAGGTGGACACCTTCGAAAAAAATTCTGGATTTGTCACAGCTTTTTATACTATGGTTCCAAGTGATTTTAATTCAAGCCCCTTAATACAAATAAATCCCATCTAATCCTACCATGGAACATTCATTGAACAGTCACATGCTAGTCTCATGACCACTAAGTAAAATGAAAATCATAATAATTAGCAATAGACTACATAAATTAACAAACATAAAAGAACTTTTAAATTTAGTAAAAGCTTAAGGATGCTCCTGTGTCACAATATATTGGTTTTTCCTACTCAAATTCATACTTTTGGTTAAGCACAAATACAAATTGCTGTCATGAAACTTAACGGTGGATTTCAGGCTTACATTCATGTTTACTTCTTAAAATCTGTCTTCATGTTTAACCTATGACTTAAAATGCAGGTTTTGACTCTGTTATGAACTTTAAATGTAGATAAAAAAAAAAGTTAGATGAGGCTTTTTCTTTGCTTTTAGCCCTCAGATTTCAGAAGATAAATCTATATTATTCAACTATAGGAATTTTCTATTGTAAAAATTAACTTACTGTGATAAATTCCAAACACACATGTTACTTTTGTTTTCGATTGCCCATACCCTTTTATATGTTTAAAACACTGGTAAATGGAGGCATCTTAGTGCAAACTTATTTTCAAGGTTTATATACTATGGCTGTGATGTGCTGAAAATTTATCTTGTAGTGGATGGTACAAGGCAGAGCTGGCAAATCAACTTTATATTTGCTATTATAGTTATCGTTAAATTTTCTTGTAGTTGTACCAATCCTGTCAAAATGTTAAATTAGTATTTGTTATTTTGTTAAGTGATTGTAAAATGTCCCATATTGTTTAAATTTAGAGTTTGTTGTGGCTTTAAATTAATGTTAGGCCATTCTGTCTTTTGTCAATTGATTTTAAGTTGGACGCTTAAACAATTTATTTACTTTTCTGGCAAAGGAATATAAGTGTATTGTGTTCACTATAACTTAAATAATTTAATTATCATTAGTCAAGAACCTGTCACCTGAAAAATAACTCATTGTTTCATGTGTAGGTTTTTGCTAGAATCAAAGGCCTTGTGACTAAGCCTGAAGCCCTTCGAAGTGGCATAAGTCCAAGTGATGCTGCAATTACGCTAGGGATTGCTCCAGCCATGGCTAAAGAGCATCTTCTAACTGCTGAGAGCAAAGGTACACCTTTGCTTTCTCTTTAAATATTGTTAAATAGCCTATATATATATATATATAATTTGCTGTTGTATGTTGGCAGGTTTGCTTTGCAGAGATATAAGCCCTGATGGCTTTCGCTTTTATATTAACCTGTTTCCTGAAATTGATCCACGTGATGTCTACTTGTAAGTCAGATGCTTCTAATTAATTTAATGACTTTCCTTTTTTTATATGTGCTTTCAATATCTTTATCAGAATCCTTTGTTTTCTACTAAAAGATGTCATTTCTACTTTTTATCAGAAACAATGAAAATTAGGTTCATTACCTTATTAGCATTGCTTAAATTTATGGGTTAAATGCTTAGCGGGAATGTTAAGTGGTACTTATGTATGCATTATGGGTAAGGTTAACACATGGTAAAATAGTGGATCAAACATGTTATGGCAGTGAAAGCTTTAGTTTCCTAGAAGGGAAGTTAGTATAGAGAAATGTGAGAGCATGGACAACCAGAAGTTTATACATAAGGTACTTAAGGGAGTATTTATAGTGTTAGGGAGTGGCTTTCCAACCAATGGGATTCATGAAGTGTTTTAACTAGATGGAAAACATGGTTGGAAAAATAAGAATGTGATCAAATTACCGAGTTTATTATGAATGAACATACAATCAATGCATCAGTGTTTTTCAGTCCCTACAACTGAAAGGTATGTGAGATATCTAAAAAGGGTCAATGAAATTTGAATTCCTTCATAGGCTTTAGTTGAGACTAAGCCTCATCTCCAAAAATCTAAATAATAATTTTAAGCTTTGAGTCTGCCTTTTTTTCTGAGGTTTTCTCTTCTTATTTTTGAGAATTATCTTTTACACCACTGGTATGGTGATATAGTAAGCCATGCTTTTAATATCATTAAATATTTTTAGGCCTCAAATATTTTGCCTTTGCAATACTTGTATGGATTGCCCTTGTACTATTTCAAAAACTTTAGTCAATTTGGAAATGTAATATTGGTAGTGGAGATGGAGATCAGGTTAGGGATTTGTAAGAGATTATCTGCTACAGGAGTATCAGATATCAAATTGGAAAATATGAGGTCTAGTTAGAATTGAATGAAAATTCATGTTTAATTAGCCAGATTCCCTTATCTTGTCATATGCTTTGTGTGCCTGTGTTGAGGTTGGTGGGGAGTTATGTTTGTGTGGGAAGATAGAAGGCTACTAGATATGTGAAAAAATGAGAGTATATTGAAAAACTTGTGTATCGAATCATACAAACACCATAGATTTAAATACAACTAACTAGAGAGTAAACTAGGAAACTAAATATTCCTAAATTTAATCCTTATAATCAAGGAATTGTCTATCCTGATATTCTGTCCTTAATTTTAGAGATACAAATTCTCAATTTTAGGGATACATATATATACAGATTACAATCAGCAGATTACAAAATACAATCACTTGTAACTAAATGTTTTCCCACACTCCTCCTCAAGCTGGTGAATAGGTGTTTTCCATTCTCAGCTTGGAAATAATTTCTTGAAATGTTGCACTGTTGAGGCCTTTAGTCAACACATCTGCAAGTTGACCCTTGGTTGATACATATGGGGTGCAAATCAATCCATTGTCTAGTTTTTCCTTTATGAAGTGTCGGTCTACTTCAATGTGTTTTGTTCTATCATGTTGCACAAGATTATGCGCAATGCTTATTGCAGATTTGTTATCAGAGTAAAGTCTCATTAGTCCATCCCATTTGATCTTCAACTCTTCTAGAATAATCTTTAACCATAGTAGTTTACAAATTCCTTGAGCCATTGCTCTAAACTCTGCTTCCGCACTTGATCTTGCCACCACATTTTGTTTTTTACTCCTCCAAGTTACAAGATTACCACTTAGAAAAGTACAGTAGCCTAAGGTAGATCCTCTGTCAATTACTGAACCTGCATAATCGGCATCTGTATATGCTTCTAGTACCAACCCTGAATTTTTTTTAAACAAGATACCTCTCCCAGGATTAGCCTTCAAATAGTGTAGTACACGGTAGACAGCCTGTAGGTGTACTTCTTTAGGACTATGCATAAATTGATTTATCACGCTCACAGCATATGCTATGTCAAGTCTAGTATGTGAGAGATAAATAAGTCTTCTAACTAATCTCTGGTACATCTCCCTATCTACAGCAGCATCTTCATTAGCTTCTCCAAGCTTATAATTAGGATCTATAGGGGAATTTGCAGGTTTACATGCGAGCTTCCCAGTTTCCTTCAAAAAATCCATCACATATTTCCGTTGTGAGATAAAAATACCATGACGTGAGTGGGTTACTTCAATTCCTAGGAAGTACTTCAATCTCCCTAGCTCTTTTATCTCGAATTCTCTGGCTAAACACTGTTTTAGAAAGTCTCTTTCTTTTTCATCATCTCCAGTTACAATTATATCATCAACATATACTAATAGAACTGTGACCTTCCCTGAATCTGAGTGCTTGATAAACAGTGTGTGATCCCTTTGACTCTGTTTATATTCCATTCCTAGCATCACTTTGGCAAATCTCCCGAACCAGGCTCTAGGAGACTGTTTAAGGCCATATAAAGCCTTTTTCAGCTTGCATACTTTTTTTGCTTTTAGATGACCCCCAAATCCCGGTGGAACTTTCATATATATTTCTTCTTCCAAATCACCATGTAAAAATGCATTCTTTACATCAAATTGTTGAAGCTGCCAATTATAATTTGTCAAGGATAATAAAATTCTAACTGTATTCATCTTGGCAATTGGAGCAAAAGTTTCCTGATAATCCACTCCATAAGTTTGAGTGTAGCCCTTAGCCACCAGCCTGGCCTTGTATCTTTCAATAGTACCATCTGCCTTATACTTTACAGTGAAAACCCATTTACACCCAACTGGATGTTTTTTTGCAGGCAACACTACCCGTTCCCATGTCTTATTTTTCTCTAAGGCTTCCATTTCTATTTTCATCACTTGCCTCCATTTCTCATTGGATAATGCCTCAGATAATGTAGTTGGAATAGAAATAGTATTTAAGCTCACAAAAAAATTTTTATGAGATGGTGAAAACTTTTCAAATGACACAAAATTAGAGATTGGGTATAATGGATGTTTAGTACATTCTCTAGTTCCTTTCCTAATGGCAATGGATAGATCATAATCACTAATTTTAAGAGAGTCATGCTCATTTTGAGAAATAGAATCAGAGATTGTAATTACCTCATTTTCAGAGTTAGGATCAGGTTCTTGGATTTGCACTGGTTTAGGAGCTGAAACTTTCTTTTTTGAGTACACCTGTAATTCTTTCACGGAATCAAGAATAGTATTATCCTTAGTCACAACTTCTGTGTTTGGAATGGGTTCAGATTTAGAATCAGTGTTTGACTTGGACTCTGAAGAAATGGGTTTAGGCTCAAAAGAATTAATGGGTGAACTATTTTGGAGGAGGATGACAAGTCAAGCAAAAAAAAGTCTTTATCCTTATCTTCTATAAATGATTTCTCCCCCTGAAGATAAGGTTGAGTAAAAAATGGTTTACTTTCTTCAAAAGTGACATATGCAGACACATAAAATTTTTGGTAGGAGGATGATAGCACTTATACCCTTTCTGAGTTGATGAATACCCCACAAAGATACACTTAATTGCTTTTGGATCCAACTTTCTCTTATTATGATTGTGAACATGAACAAATGATGTACAACCGAATATCCTAGGTGTGAGGTTGTTTGTGGCATTAAGGTTGGGATAGAATTGTGAGAGTAGTTCCATAGGAGTTTTAAATCTCAAAACCCTTGAAGGTAATCTATTTATAATGTGTAGCAGTGAGAACAGCTTCCCTTTAGTAAGATTTGGGCACATTTGTTTGAAAAAGGAAGGCTCGGGTTGTGACTAGTAAATGGCTGTTTTTTCTCTCTGTCACTCCATTTTACTGTGGAGTATTAACACAATATGATTATGGATAATCCTCTCATTTTGAAAATAGGTGGATAGACTCTGGTTGAAATAGTCTCTTGCATTATCAGACCTAAATCTCTTGATTCTCATTCCAAATTGATTTTGGATCATGTTTTGGAAGCTAAAAAATATACTATTCACCTCTGATTTGGATTTAAGTAAAAAAACCCAAGAAACCCTGGTACAATCATCTATGAATGAAACAAACTATCTTGCCCTAGAAATATTAAGAACTGTAGAGGGACCCCAAATGTCACTATGAATCAAGTAAAAGGGAGTAGAACTTCTTTTGTTACTAATTGAAAAAGATATACGTCTGTGTTTTGCAAGTTCACAAACATCACAATGAAAATCTTCAACGTTTAATCCTTTGAACAAAGAAGGAAACATGTTTCTCAAAGTTCCAAAAAAAAGATGTCCAAAATGAAAATGATAAAGTCAGATTTTATCTTTATTGGAAGATTGTTCAGAAAGAAATGACAAAGGTAAACTATTCTTGATATTACTTATGTTGTTGGATGTCTCAAGATAGTATAGTCTATCTTTCTCCTTAGCAAGTCCAATCGTCTTCTCTGAACCCTGATCTTGAAATTCACAGTAAGAGGGATAAAAAGTCACATTGCAGTTCATGTCTCTAGTAAGTCTTTGTATAGATATCAGATTAGTAGACAATCTAGAAACATGAAGAACATTTTTAAGAACGAATGAGGGATTAATTTGAATATCTCCTAATCCTGCCACTGTAGTAAGTGAACCATCTGCAATAGTAATTTTCTTATTACCAGGACATAAGGTATATGTACTAAACTTTTGTGAAGAATGTGTCATGTGGTCTGTGGCTCCTGAGTCAATGACCCAAGAACTCTTAATGGACTTATCTGAGACATTTAATCCATGAGAATTAGAGACTTTACCTGCACTAGAGTCCTTACCTTAGTGTGCCAAGTCGCATACACCAGTAGCCTTTTCAAGAGTTCCCAATAGGCTTCTCAGTTTCTCAATTTTTTTTTTATCCAACTCTCCTTGTTCTTGAGACTTCTCCTGGTTTAACTCCATTGCAGTCATGTGAGCTTGTCCTTGATTTCTTGGCTGTCCTCCTTTATAACCCCATTCTTTGCTTGAAGTTGAAGGTTTTCCATGTAGTTTCCAGCAACGATCTCTGGTGTGCCTTGGTTTCTTGCAATAGGTGCATTAAAGATTGTTGCGATTTGAAGTTTTAGCCGAATCACCTTTCCCATTCTCACTGACTGGTAATTGTTCTAAGCTTTGGTTCTTCCCACCATTAGAGACCATAACAGATCCTTCTACATGCACATTGTCAAGCATCACTCCTCTTCTGCTCTCTTTTGCTCTAACCATGGATATCACTTCATTTAAAGAAGGCAGATCCTGTTTTCCCAAAATTTGGACTCTGACTTGATCAAACTCAACATTCAGTCCAGCAAGAAAATCATAGAGTCGATCTTTTTCAATAAATTTCTTTAAAGTTGTTGCATCTTCACTGCACTTCATTTCTATGCACCGATAGTGATCCATCTCTTGCCAAAGATTTTTAAGAAGAATAGCATACTCTATGACTGACTTATTCCCTTGTTTGAGAGCTGCAGTCTTGATCTTTACCTCATAGACTTGAGCAACATCTTTAACTTTGGAATAGGTTTGACGAATTGATTCCCAAATGTCTTTAGCCGTGGACAAAAACATACAAGTGTCACTAATATTTGGTGTCATAGAATTCCACAGCCATGACATAACCATAGAATCCTCTTCATCCCAAGCCTCAAATTTTGGATCTCCTTTCTCAGGACCAGTGCCAAGAAGATGGGTCAATTTTCCTTTCCCTTTTAGAAAGGTTTGAACCAACTGAGACCACTTCAAGTAGTTCTTTCCATTCAATCGGTATGCAGCTTGGATATTCTGTAGTTCCCCTGTGGTTTGACCAGTTGTTACTTCTCCAAATCGAGTAGTAGCGGCAGATTCTGCTATTTCTGACTTGATTACCTTTCTCAGGTCTGAAACGAGTATAGGCAATGAAGGCCAAAAAGGAAAAAAATAAAGGTATGACAAACTTAACAGAATTTGGCTATGAAGGCCTAAAAAAAAATTCAGCAATGAAGGCTGAAAAATTTTCTTCCCAAGAAGAGTCTAAAGCTCTGATACCATGTGAAAAAATGAGAGTATATTGAAAAACTTGTGTATCGAATCATACAAACACCATAGATTTAAATACAACTAACTAGATAGTAAATTAGGAAACTAAATATTCCTAAATCTAATCCCTATAATCAAGGAATTGTCTATCCTGATATTCTGTCCTTAATTCTAGAGATACAAATTCTCAATTTTAGGGATACAGATATATATAGATTACAATCAGCAGATTGCAAAATACAACCACTTGTAACTAAATGTTTTACCACAAGATATTTTGCTGAATTCAGGGTACTTTGCTTTATGGTGACTTATAAATATAGAATGTGTTTGATGCATAAGGTTATGATTAGATAGGATAAGATGATATTATAAATAGGATTAGATTAAATAATGTTATCCTATCTTGTGATTGATGTGTGTGACGATTAGGATATCATAATTTTATTTATTAGTCAAAATGATCATTCTTCAAAATTTATACAATTAAAATTATTGATGTGATTTTTAAGAGTAGAAGAAGACATGTAAGTTCAATCTCATAGGTTAAAATAATCCTCCCCACTTTGGGAGTATTGAATCCTCTTATACCAAAAGGATGATTAATCTTCGTTCCAATCTTATCCCTTTTTTTTTAAGATACAAATCAAATATGGTATAGTCCTATCCTATCCATCAATGTACCAAATATAGCCATAATTTGATTTGCAAGGGACAGACTTCTTATTGCACGGCTTTGTACCATTCTTGCAATTATCCTATTGTTTCTCGAGCAATTTTATTTGTCATTTCTTTTTGCTTGCGTGGTATTTATGCACGTTAAATTTGTAGAGTGAAGGATTATGGGATCTGCAATACATGGATCAAAGCAGTTTCTACTTCTGGGTAAGGATGCCATTTTTAATTAATTGCCATTGACATTCATGCTGCTCGCACCATTAAAAAGCTTCAGCTGCTACCTTATTTATCTAAGGCTTTGTTCATCTTCATTCTTTATTTTACCTTTTCCTTAATAATTGTTTATTTTCTTTTTTCTTTTTAGGTTGAAATAAATGCATTTGGCTTTAGATTTCTGGAAGCATGCTCTCAGACAGCTTTCCCATGCTCGATTGGGACAATGGATTTTCTGCATGTGGGGTAACTTACAATCCAGTCTGCTTCTTTTTGTTGTAAATAAGAACACGAGGAAAGCTGGTGAGCAACTCAGGATATGGTTTTGAACTTTTGATTGATAGTGTACACTGTAAGTTGTAACAAGAGAACAATTGATCCTTCAATTGAAACTTCTAAAGCAAACTCAGCAATACCGACTAGTGTTTATTGGGTGTAGAGATGTCAATAAAGGCTTGAATTACACGGCCAGCCAGCAGCAAATTGCACATGACTGAATTGTTTCCCATTCCAATACTTTGTTGACATTTGGAAGCTCAATCGAAACTGTGCAATATCCTTTGGAATATTTTTAAATAGAATTAATGATTTTAAATATGATAAAATAATTCGACACAAAAATATATAAAAAAATAAAAATAAAATAATTTAAAATTTTAATAAAAATTATATATAAATTTATAAAAATAAAAAAAAAAATTTGTATATCATATCAATACAAATTTGATATAGTAATTTTTATATTTTATATGTATTTAATACAAAATAAATATGATAAAAATATGAATTCCTAAAATATATAAATTATCGTATTTATTTTCAATCTTATTTTGGATAAGAAGTTTCTCCAAATCCAAACATTTGCCATTTTAACAACAGAGGCCAACGGGATGCATGCTTCGGGATAGGATCCCTCGAACAAGCATTTCCACACAGATCAAGCTTTATCAGAGTTCACCGCATCTCCATCTGCCTAATCAAACTTTTGGTGGTGAATTTTGCAAATTCTGCAGGTAGGATTGCTAAAAGAGCCTTCAAATCATATATAAATTTAACAAAACAAAAAAAATATAAGTTTTGTATTTTCGTATAAACATGAATTGTGATATATAATTTTTGTATAAAACATGCACAAATACACAAATTCTCAGTATTTTATATGACACGAATATACGAATCGCTAGTTCTAAGTTTAGACCCAAGCCTCATCAGCGCACATACACTAACCTTGAAACTATACCCCAACCCCAACCCTTTTCTTGTAATCCTTGCAGACACTAGAATATGACTGACTGAAAACTTTAGGTTGCGTTATAATGAACTTACTCAGCTTCAAGGGCTGCAATTTCATATCTCAGTTCTTCTAAATGTTCATTAATGGCAGTTACAGCATCTTGCACACCTCTAATGGCTTCCTTGAGAGCATTATCATATTCAGCATTTGCTTCTGCATCTTCTGTGCCAGCTGCTTCTGTTATCTCATGGACATGCACACATTCATGCTCCATTGGCTTCTTAAATAAACAATTTTCGTGGCTCACTGGACGCTCTGATGGCCGACCTGCCTTCTTCAAGACCTGAATCGTAGCAGTCTTCATGATAGAAGAAAGTAAGTTTGTCAGCAGAAATTGGGAGATGTTACAAGGTAAGAAATAGAATTAGGTAGGAAAATTGATAAAGAAAATACATATATATATTTATGCTACGTAACTAATGTTTAAAAAAAACATAATTTAAAATTAAAGTTTTAAAATAGTTAATCCACACCAACAAATGAATCAATCCAATTTAAATGGGAGAAGCTGCTTCAAGAAAGAATTCTTCATTTATCAATTATAAATTCTATGACTTTTGCAGTTAATCCTGAAGCAGAGAATGGAACTAAAACAGGGGCACCTTGATTGAACTGTATTTATTTTAACTGATTAAATCTCAGACTTCATAACCACAGCATCAGCCCAATTTGTTTTAAGCAATCACTAAAGCCTAGTTTAAATGATTATCCAGTCACCTCACATTCAGACTGCAAAACAAAACCCATCCAAACAAAGGCATCTTTCCTCTTGGCAGCAACATATATAGCTACAATAATGAAATATACGGACTATTTATCAAGTCAAAACCAATGTGCACATAAAAGTTGTTGTTTCTAATCATAACATTATCAAAGTTTTAATCAAATGCTGGAAAAGAAATAAAAGGATTTTCAGTAATGCATTTTGGCTCAAAGGATTTGACACTTATTGTAAGGGTCTTTAAGGTCTGGATCAACAAACATTCACGTCCATGCATGATGCCTAATCCCATGCATTATGAATAAACAAAGATGAGCAATTAATTAACTGTAAGTTTGAAATTGCATTTAGAGTTTGTCATAGAGCTCTCTTGATTTTACCATACTGTGACAATAGCTTTGCCAAGTTACCACTATGTTGAAACTTGAAACTATTGCTGGTCCCGCACTTGAAGAAAATTCTTAATAGATTTCTTCCATCCCTTCTCCATTCTACTGCATTTTAATCCATTATGCTATAAACTAGATAAACAGGAAGATATATGCTTTCTGCCTATAGAAATGATTTTCAATCAAGGGTCCAACATAGGAAGAGGTGTAATTTGGTAGGGAGTCAGCAATATTTATGCTGCCTTGTCACACAAAATCAACTTTTAATTGTCCAGAAGCCTGTCCCATGCCAACCCCCAAAAAACTAAAATAGAAAATTCTTTTTGAGTTCCTTTGTCAGGAAGATCATTAATTCAACACTAACCGTATTTGACCCATACAGTTTGCAGCAGCAAAAACAGATGATAATACTGTCAGGAACAACGGTAAAATGACAGGTGGTCAAAAAAGATATATACAGAATTACAGATGACCAGACAACAAAAAATTATAATTCTAGATTCCGATATAATTCTCTCAAGAGCACTGATACAAGAACAGTTAGTAACAACAGCTATATACAGAGCCATACCAGATGCAATTTCTGCTTTTCGTGTGTTTGAACAGCTCTGAGCAGCTGAGCTAGATCAACTCGGCCGTAATCAGGGTTTAAAAATAGAGATTCCATCTCAAGGACCTGTACCCAAGCAAGCAACATACTAAGAACAGGCAAACTTGAAAAAGGAATTCAAGAATAATGCACATATAAGTATCAGAACTTGTTTCGAGCAGTCATTGAACTCTATTGTAATCTCACTGCAAAGCTGCTGGTACGCCAATTCCCCTCCTGAATTCATATACTCGGAAAAACCCCTGACCATTAAATGCCAAAACTAACCATCAAAATTCTCTCCGAAAAAAGATATATAGAACAAAAGCAAAAAACATATAGTACATTCCATCCAAAGTCATTTGAAGTATTATACGAGGCAAGGACTATGATATCAGACTTAGTCAAAGAACATTCTTATCACTTAAAGATGCAATTTTTCTGCAAAAAATGGCTTTTTTACGCATCAAAGAAACCTTTTACATACATGTTCCTATTCCTACTCCTTTCTTTTTAAGAAAAAGCTTAAGTAAACACTCAAGCATTTTTCTTAATCATAGGTGCATGTATTTCCTACTCAAAAGCTGGGTATTACTAAACCTGACAATTTTAGATAAGACACATAATACAAATTCCAAAACAAAATTACAGCAACACAGTTTAAAATTTTAATAAAAATTGCATATGACTTTGGCAAAAACAAAAAAGAAATGTGTTTCCTATTTGACGTATTCAAATTGTGACATGTTAATTTTTGTGTTTTATATGTGTTTGACACAAAACAGGCACGACAGTTACACACAAATTGCCATGTCTAGTTGTTACCTAAAAAATATTAAAACAAAATCTTTTAAACTTGTACAGATCGGCGAATCCAAGAAAAATTTTATAAAGCATTTCACTTAATTTGTACTGTACCCTTTTTCTATGGTTCTCCATAAAAAAAAAAAAAGTCCTTAGATTTATTTTTCCTCAATTAAGACCAACAATGATGATTTCTTGATTCCTAAACATCTATGTTTAATGAATAAATGTTAGTGATTTTAGATAAATCAAATTTGTTTTCCTCTCACCATTAAAACCATGCGATGAGATTATGATTTGAATTTTGCAATGAAATGTATAACACTGAATTGGATTTCAGAAATAGATTTCAAGAACTAACCCAAACAGCCATCAAATTCAAATTAAAAATTAGTTCTTTGGGGAAAAATGGGAAGAAAAAGGGCTTACGTTTTAAGCTTGGAGTAAGCTTGGGCTCTACGCTGTTGAACGTCAAGGAATTTGCGAAGCAAATGGAGAATTTCTTTATTTTTACTGCTACTGCTGCCTTCATCTTCTTCAATCTCCATTGACTCTTTTATCGAAAGCTTTTTCTCAAAATCTTCCATTTTTTAATTATTATTTTCGCTTTGCCTCTTCACCAGTTTCTGCAAATTTCTTCTTTTGCGGTCACGCCTTCCACGGGAAACTGGAAACTGACAATTTTTTTTTATATGGCCATGGGAAACTGAAATTGTTAGTATTTATTTACTTTTCTTTTCGGAATAAAAAGTACAATTTGAAGGGGGAAAAAGTAAAATGTTGGGTAGGAGAATAAAATACTTGGGCTACAAAATCAAAGCCCAAATGGAGACAACCCATTATGAAAAGAAATAAAAATCATTGCCTAATTAAGTGGACTTAACCGTTCGTGTTTTTAGCGAATAAGCTTGATTGGATAAAAAGTATAATCGTGGAAGATGCTTATGAAGCTATCTAAAACACTCTAGTTTATCATAATTGGAGGTGATAATAAATTAGAGCGAATTGAATTGATTTTTTTTTTGAATAACATATAATATTATAAATTTTTAAAATTTAATTTGAATTTAAATTGATTTTCTTTTGAAATTGAACCGAATTTACAGATTTGTTAAGATTCATTGGTTTTTAAATTTTAAATTTTAAATTTTTATATATTATTTTGATAGAATTTTAATATATTTTAATAGATTTATATATAAATAATTATTTTTATTTTATAAAAATATAAAATATATATAAATTAATAAAAATATATAATTTGACTCTATTCAATTTTTTATATTTCGATTCAAATTTAACTTTAATCTCAATCGAATAAAAAAAATCATTTTAAATTGAATACTGCAATTTTAAATTAATTTTTGATTTTTTCGATTTTTTTTCCCTTGTGGTAACGAAGGAAAGGATTTGTTAGCGTGGCCCAGTAATAATAATGGCCAATGTTCAGTCAAGGCGTAGGATATCATGTTATGAGAGAGTGCCTCTAAGGAATAAGAAAGATCCATCCTTATCAAACATAGTGAAAGAATCTGTTTGGGAGGATATCTGGAAGCTTTTGATTCCTACTATAATAAGGAACTTCCTATGGAGGGCCTGTCATAATGCTAGCTATCAAAATCTATGGAGAAAAAGGGTGACATCCCCCTATATGTTCTTTGTGCAACTCTGGAATGGAGACAGTATAACATGTTTTACTATTGTGTGACTATAATCACCACTTCTGATAAATGGCTGAGTGAATGCTTGAACTTAAAAAGTAGGCATGGCGAATGATTAACAGAGATTGCAAGTTACTATTGCTTTTGCAGAATATTTGGAAACTACGTCTTGAAGCAATATATAAGAGGAAAGAGCCTGATGTGATGATGGTAATTGCTAGAATTAAATGAGCAGTAGCTTAGTATATGTGTTTCTTAGAAGGTCAAGCTGGTGAGAAGGAAAATAACATAGGTAGTAGCAGACAAGAAATTTGGAAAGAACCTGAAGAAGGGAGGGTGAAGGCAAATTGTAATGGTGCTTACTCTCAAGAAACGAGTGAAGCTGGTTTGGTTATGGTGATTAGAAATCCTGGGAAAAGAGTTGATTGGAGGAGTCAGTAACAAGAAAAAGGTTGATTCTAGTTTAATGGCAGAAGCTTAAGAACTGCGAGAAGGAGTAATGCTGCAAAAAGAAATGGATCTTGGAAACAGACTCTGAAGTCTTAAGCAAGGAACTGAGTAAAGAAAGAGGGTATCAAAGTTATAAAGGAGTGAAGTGGTTTGAAGGGTTTAGGGTCAGTTGTGTTAACGGAAAAGCTGATAGAGCGGCTGATTGGCGTTGCTACCCAAACCAAGAATGGTATGTGCAATGAAAATTAGGTGATTTTGGCTTATCCTCGTTGGTTTTAAAACTGAATAAGAATGGACTGCACGCACCTCCTTAAATGTACCATTAGAGTACTGAGTTCATGAGTCGGGTGTTCTCTTCTATTCTGATAGATGTTAGTAATTGTGATTGTTGTAACTCTGATTACAAAGTAATGAAATACTATTGATTCTTGACCAAAAAAAAAACTCAAGTTATTGCATGAAAAAAACTTTTATTTATTAATCCAACAGTAATAAAAATCTTGCCAATTGAAAGAGACAAACATGAACAGTAGACGCGCTTCACATGACAGTTTCTCAATTCAAAAACCTTTTTCTTTCTTAATACAGACGTGCTTTCCTTCTGATACTAGTGTTTGATAAAGCTCTAAATTTGCAAACAAGTTTTAATGCAAGTATTAAATTTGATCAATTGTAGTACAAAGACTAAATCCTTTAAGAAGAAAAATTTTGGCTTGGGACCAATAACTTTGGCAGTTAAAAAGTACTTGATTTGATTAAGATAGGTTTAACTACTAAAGGAATGTTCCAAATGATTAAGACAGTCCATGCGTGAGTCTTAATCTGAGTTAAATTGTTTTTATTATTTGTTTCTAATGTATATTTGTTTCTATTGAGTAGAGTTGCCTTCGAAGCTGGGACTTGGGAGAGGGTCAACGGTCAACAATACCTTTTTTTTTTTTTTGTGTGCTGAGACTTTCCCCTTTAAAACTGAATATGACAAACATACAGTTACAGACAAGCTTCGCTTGAGCCTTCTCTCAATTATCTTTTCTTGCATTAGAAAAACAACAACATTAACAACCCATTTTCCTTGTTACTCCAAACTTATAGTTTGCAAAAACCTTCTCTGTCTCACAGCCATTAATATAATAAATAAGAAAATTAACTGATATTAAAACATTTTTTGTTGTAATTTGTTCTTGCAACAAATCAAAATTTTGGAATATTAATTTTTAGAATAAACAATTTAATTATTTCAATAATTCAACAACCACCACAATAAAATTAATTACATATAACTTAAATATGATATGCCAAATTGCTAGCAGATTATAATATTTTTATAAACCTTTCAAAAGTATTTCATATAATCAAAATTTTAAACTCATAAGTCGATATAATCACTTTAAAATACTTCTATTACCTTTATCGTTGCAAAATAAAATTAGTAAGAGTTAAATAAAAAAAAATGACTATGCATTTTTAATTTCCCATGCAATGCATAATTTCTAAAGTTTTTTCTTACAGCCACATTGAAAGTTTTCACAAATTAACACTTACTAGGAAACAACCAGTTCCTAAACTTTTCGTAAGCCTTCATTGATTTTCTACCTTGAAAGTTGACTGTAGCTTCAAATTGAACTGAAATTGATATTGCCCTTTAAGTTTGCAAATCCAGCTTTGTATCATTGTTTTGAACCTTTATGTATCATTGTTGTCACCTTAAATATGACAAATATGGACAAATACTTAAGTGATAACACATTCCTTAATTAGGTTTGATGAAATAAGATCAAGAAATCAAATGTATTAGAGCAATTATACAAGTTTAACATGAATTATGTGTTATTATGCATAATATGATCGATTTGACTCAATTAATAGCAGCTTCTCCTTTACAATAAATAATTTATGAATTTTAACAGTTATTTTTGCAAACGCTAACTGGATATATAAAAGTCTTACCGATCTATTAATTTGAATTAAATAATTCATTTTTCAAAAAAATTTTTAAAAAGAAAGAATATTAGCAACAACATATTTTGAATTAAAATATTACACTAACAAAGCATGTTAACCTTGGAATCCCAATTTCTAAAGCTCCAAATGACATTAAAATATGAGTTTACCATCGAAACATTAGATGTGCAAGCAACTTGCTTATTTACATTTTATAATAATTATTGATTGGACAAAGGATTGAAAATATGCATAATGTTTTTGTTTTGGAAATAAAAAATTCCTTAAAATGAATTAAATTTTATTATAATTTTTTAAAATCAGTTTTAAAAAATAAGAGGACAAAAAAAAATGAAACAATTTCCCGTGTAATAATTTATCTCCTTTGTTACTCTAAACCTTTTTTTGTCTTAATGTCATCAATCATCAGAAACCTGTCACTTCTGCTTTTAAAACTTAATATGACAAACATAACAGTGAAGCCAAAAAAATTTGATTTTAAAAATAAGCCAAGAAAAAGGCCTACTGCTATTAAAAGATAATTTAATTTTGCTACATCTATTCAATACAAAAGATACAAATTTGAGAACATCGGCCAAACCGTTTTTATGATTCTATGAAGCCACAGATGTGTCCTAAGCTGCTCCAGCATTAGTTGCTGACTCATCCTGTAGCAACTCCGCTGCCTCGTCTGCGGAGGCTGAGATTAGCGATGCTGATTGAATCTTTCCGGCATACTCTAGTCGCATCAGAATAACGCCTCTGCGAAATAAATGAAGTAAAATAACTAACTTGACAATATATACTCGAATCAAAGTAAAATTTACCATACATTGAGTTCAAAGTTTCAACTTTCGAGCATAGTTTGTAAAAGCATTTTGCTCAATAATAGATGCATGTCTACTCAAGAGCGAAGTTCAAATCCATCCTTCCCCCAAAATTATGCAAGATTAAAAAAATCTAAAGCTATTAATAAGAAAAATGATTTTGCCTACTTTTAAACTATGTTGTGCTACAGAATATGCGAATAAAGGAAAAGAAATGAACTATATATATATATATATATATATATATTGAAAAAATATCACCTCACTAAATTAAACTGAGGGTATATGGAAAAGGACAAAGAATAACACTACTTAAGACTGTTACAAGTTTCTACTTCGGAACTTATATTCCGAGGAGACCCATAATGGCTTATACAATGAGAGGAATATGCCAATTCCAACAAACTAGTGTCTCCATCTACACAGTATTCAATCATCATTAGAGTCGATAATGTGAATATGGATGCAAATTCAACTTTTTTAAAGATTTATTTTATTTATTTATTTATTTGTATGTTTGCAAGATTTGTACTTTAGTTCTAAGCCGAGCCTGGAGACTGTCTTATGTTAACAACCATGGTAATGCTCAAATGGGAGGAGATAATGTGAATATGGATGCAAATTCAACTTTTTTAAAGATTTATTTTATTTATTTATTTATTTGTATGTTTGCAAGATTTGTACTTTAGTTCTAAGCCGAGCCTGGAGACTGTCTTATGTTAACAACCACGGTAATGCTCAAATGGGAGGAGCATCAGGATGACTATTCTGTGAAGCTTGTGATCTGCACAAACTTTGTCCTATTTTGCCCAATTGTTCAGGGAGAAGAGATGCACATATAGCATTTTCATGCAACAGTTAAGTATAAGTTCACCCATTAGTAGCAAAACTAAACATCTCTTGCACAAATAAATTCTCCTACTTTTACCTTGCATAGCGAGACTGTATCGAGATATCCCGAACTTTAATTCTATTGACAGTACCACTTTGGCTGACCAGAACCACTTGCTCATCACTTTCACCATCTTCTGCGAGAGAGAGAGAGAGAGAGAATAATGAGAATATAAATTAAGAAATAAGAGTAATTCTGTCAGATTTTACAAGAATATTACACATAAATCACCAATTACATAATTTACCTGCCAATGAAAAACCAACCACAAAGACTGCTGCCAAGTGATCTTCTGAAGAAAACTGAAGAGAGAGCAAACACTTGTTATCTTTGAGAACAACTGAATCAGGCAGAAAAAAACTTCCCTTAACAATCAGGGTGATGAAGTACCTTGTAACCTATTAAACCAACTCTGTTCAAAGGCAATTGTCTGAAGCTACTCAAGGGAACCCGCTTGCCATAGCCATTCTCAGAGACAAACAACAGCCATGGACCACTGCCGCTCTTATCGCTATGTTGGGAAAGAAAATAAACATAAATAAGTAAATATGTCAAAGCCAATGCCCAATATTATGAGAGAAACAGTAACAAAGAAGAGGAAGTGAATTCAACAGGAGAGCACCAAGAACAAATAAGACTCAAAATGGACACACCCCTATCTCATGAAACATGATAAAGTAGAAAACACATTACAATAGAAAATAACCAAAATCCAAGTAGTGAAATACATTCAATCTATCACCAAAGGAACTTTAAACCAAGGGCTGAAAGCAAAATGTCAAGTCTAGAACTCTAGAGTGATGCAACTTAGAGAGTAAACCCCGAAATCATTTTGAACATTATTACCTAGTTGACAGACAGTGATATAGAGGAAACTTAATAACAGAAACTGTTTTTAATTGCACCAGAAGTCTGGTTTACATCCTAAATCCAGATTATTTATTAGCCAATCAACTTATGGCCAATATCACTCCAAAAGGAGGCAGGGAGGAAAAAGTGAAAACAAATTTAAGAGCAGTGAACAGTTTTCTGAAGTTTAAATAAAGTTGAAGATACTCTTAAACCGTTTTCTTTGACTTGAATTAGCAAAGCCCCCTAAATCCAACCCCAAACTAATAGTCTGACAATGTGGGTAAGCTTGAGTTAAAGATTATTATAGTTTAAAATAATTTACCTGTTCACGGAATCCTCTGCTGCCTTATCCAAATCTTTATGCTGTGGTGCAGGTATGATGTCCATGCTTGCCATCTTATCTCCTTCTTTCAGTCTCATGGCAATAGCTCCTCTGGTATTTCTGCTTAGTGCTCGGATCTGAACACACAACAACAAATGGAAACAAGAATAACTACATACTAAATTGTAAAACATAACAATAAATAGAGGAATGCTAGGTAAAATTAGTCCCTGCTACTATCTACCATTGTTGTAAGAGATCTCTGGAAAGGAAAACAAAAGTTACCTAAGGTCAAGGCAATATATAAACCATAAGAGAATTTCATTGCGGTATTCAGAAAATACTAGAGGAATAACCATTACAAAAGGAATTGTAAAGATGCTAACTAATAATAAATTCAAGAGTTCAAGTTGTTTGTTAAAATGTGCTTTGAGATATTAATTGTGCTGCAATTTGGTGCTGGGAGATAAAAGTGAGTCAAACCCCACTCAGGAGTTAGTAGGAACCAACTCGCCAACTACTTGAGCAATATTTGTCTGCAAGTGGATATAAGCTGAATTCAAATAACTTGAGTAAGTCAGGTTCAAGTTTTCTAAAATTGAACTTAAGCAGCTCAAGACCTTATAGAATAATTAAATTTTAATATTTTTACACATGATATGAATATGATATTATGTTTTGCACTGATTAAATGGAATCAGATTGATCTCAAATGTGTTAAATCTCCACAATGTTGAGTTTAAAAGATCATGAAGATTTGAGCTGAAAGTTTTTAAATGAGTCAAGCTAGTATGGTTCACTATGACAACTCAGCTTAGCTCATGCGCCTATTTGAAGAACCTTTACAAATGACAGCATGCTTTAAGAGCTTTGAAATATTGAGGAAGACATGCGAGACAAAGAATTTTCTCCTACTGAGCCTGGAATATTATACAACTCTTTTACTGTACCTAGAGACAAATAGCCACTTTGGCATCATAACTAGGATACAGGATACAGATACTCCAAGATACATATATAATCATAGAACAATTTCTAGAAAAAGACACTAACAATGACTGTCCTCATAAATAATTATATTTCCTCCTATCAATGCTACTCTTTGAGCTAACTTGTATTTTTTTTAGTTGGAAGTTTACTATAGGAGCTCATTGTCAGAAAGGAAGGTAGACCCTTTTTGGGATGAGTAAACATAATAGAATGCAAAACTTAGAACATTTTTTGCATTCAGTAACAAATTTATTCCAATACTGTGCTTAAAAAGGATTCACCATAAGGTTAACATGTCACTACATGTCCAATAAGTATCAAAAACTTCTCGACATGATAATAAAGTATCAAATATGTATTTAAAATTAACCTCAGTCATTATATTAGACTAGTACAATGCAAGATATATCAGCTGTCTAGAAATATCTGTGTGACAACTTCAGCACTTTGCCTGACACCCTTCTTGTAATTAATATCTGGTTGAAAAAGCTGGCGCATCTTTGTTTTCATTGTAAACAAGTAAAAAGTTCATTAACATTAACCAAAAAATACTTGTTCAGAAGTTCCATCTTAAACTCCACAACTGAACTTTGTTAACTAATCCAGAGGAAAAGATTCTCCACATGTGCAGCAGGTAAACAAAAAAGAGAAAAGAAAAGAAAATGATAAGAAGCAAAGTAAAGATCAATGTCCAGTGGGGCAGCAAAGACAAAGAAATTCAATATACAGCTAATTGAATCAGGTTTCATCCTTCTCAAATCCCAGGTTTGACCATAATCTTTCTCGCTAATGTCATTCTTTTACTCAATTTTACACTGGGCAGTGCAAAATTATGAATATGAACAATTTAAGAGGCAAATAGAATAGGAGAAATAAATCAGACAACGAATAAGCTGCTTCTATTTACTCGAGTCACTGCTCATACACATGACCTTGGTGAATCTTGCAAATATGTTCAAAGGAGAGAAAGCAACAAAAGATTACTTACAATGTCACAGGAACTTAAAATGACCATTCCATTTTGTGAAGCCATGGCTACAAGGTCATCATTTGTGCATCGACGAACCCACTTTAGCTCATCACCAGGAACCTGGCATATTAGTGAGGGGTAAGAGATATCATATTTGAAAGATTATAATCAAAGGTCCATGCTTAGACAGAAAGACGGACCAATTGAATGGCTATGATTCCGGTTGACCGAATTGCTGAAAAGTAATTCAGAGATACTTTCTTGATGTAGCCATTCACTGTAAGCATCGCTAGAAACTGGTCTTTAGCAAACTCACTTACAGAAATAATCGATGTTATTCTCTCGCCTTCAGATAAAGATATGATCTGTCATGAGCATGAAACAATCCAAGCTGCCTTTAGCCAGCCTAAAAAAAATCAACAAAAGGAGAATAGCAAAACAATAAATACCTGGACCAAAGGTGCCCCAGCAGCAGTCCGGCTACTTTCTGGAATTTTATATGCACGAGCTGAGTACACTATTCCCCTATCACTGCATAAGGCATTTGGGAATCATAATGTATATTTGTTGTTAGGATTTAGGAATTACAGATGCAGCAAAGAACCCTCTTGACTGGAACTAGCATAATATGCAAGTTCAAAGAACATGACGACCTTCATGCACCCAGACATCAAGAGGCCAATTCCAAAAACAAGCTGCTTTCAAACAGGCCAACTAAATAGCTACCAGAGTAGTCTTGCATCTCTTGGCTAGTGTGCCATCCAAATACCAGAGCAACCATACTTAACTGAACCATGAGCATGCATGCATGGTATGACCTTATCTAGATCAAGCCACTCTGGATTTTATATAGCATAATGCTTGGTAATGAACCTCTTTTGAATAAAAGCGGCTCAGAAATTTCTTATTTTGTACCAAATACATTTATCTTACATCAATGTGTAAAGGAATAAACGTCAAAAAGAAACCACCTATTGTGATTGGGGTTAGTTGCCTTTCATTTGTAAATCAAATGGTTAAAACCTGATCCTTTTCATCACTTTCTGGTTAAAGAATTCAAAACTAATTCACCCAAACAACTGTCATTCAATTTTTCATAATTGAAACTCAGAAGACAAAAAAGCAACAATAATAACTCAACAAGTGCAGTTTCCATACAATTAAACCTACATGACAACCTGCAGAAATAAATATAAAAAAAATATTGCAGAGATGAAATTGCAGCCCTTTAAAATAGAAAGCAAGATAGCAAAGAAAAGTTGAAATCAATTAATGCTCCAACTTTCACAAGCACCCCCTATGGGAAAACACTTATTTACAGCTGGTTGTAATCTTGTAATCTGTATATTTATATTTACATCTCTAGAATTAAGTATTTGTATCCCTAGAATTAATGACAAAAAATTAGGATAGACAATCCCTCAATTATAGGATTAGTTTTTTAGGAAGATTTAGTTTCCTAGTTTAACCCCTAGTTAGTTGTATATAAACCTAAGGTTCTTGTATAATTCTTTATGAGCAGTTTTTCAATATACATTCAGTTTCCACACTGATTTATTTCTTAGTTTTTCCACATGGTATCAGAGCTTTAGGCTCTTCTTGGGAAGCAAAATTTTCAACCTTCATTGTTGACTTCTATTTTAGGCCTTCATTGCCGAACCCTTTCAAAGAAATATATCACTACCACCCAATTTGAGGAAATGTCAACTAGAAAAATCACTGGAGTACTACAGATGTCTCAAAAACAAGAAGAGTTCGACAGGCAAGAAATTGAAAAACTGAGAAACTTATTGAAAATCCTTGAAAAGCCTACTGTGGTATGTTCTTTGGGTAAGATCTCTAGTTCAAGTAAAGCTTCCGATTCTCATGGATTAAATGTCTCAACTAAGCTTATTACGAGTTATTGGGTCATTGACTCTAGAGCCATAGACCATACGATACATTCCTCACAGAAGTTTAGTACATATAACCTGTGTCCTAGTAATAAGAAAATTTTTATTGCAGATGGTTCACTTACTACAGTGGCAGGATTAGGAGATGTTCAAGTTAATCCCTCGTTTGTTCTCAAAAATGTTCTTCATGTTCCTGGATTGTCTACTAATCTAATATCTATACAAAAACTTATCAGAGATATGAATTGCAAAGTAACTTTTTATCCCTCTTATTGTGAATTTCAAGACCAAAGTTCAGAGAGGATGATTGGACTTGCTAAGGAGAAGGATGGACTATACTATCTTGAAACATCAAATAACACAAGTAATATCAAGAATAGTTTACCTTTGTCATTTCTTTATGAAAAATCTTTCAATAAAGACAAAATCTGGCTTTATCATTTTCGTCTTAGACATCTTTCTTTGGGAACTTTCAGAAACATGTTTCCTTCTTTGTTCAAAGGATTAAATGTCGAAGATTTTCATTGTGATGTTTGCAAACTTGCAAAGCATAGACGTGTGTCTTTTTCAATTAGTAACAAAAGAAGTTCTACTCCCTTTTACTTGATTCATAGTGACATTTAAGGTCCCTCTACAATTCCTAATATTTCTAGTGCAAGATGATTTGTTTCATTCATAGATGATTGTACCAGGGTCCCTTCGATTTTTTTAATTAAATCCAAATCAAATGCGAATAGTGTGTTTTTTTAAGCTTCCAAAATCAATTTGGAGTGAGAATCAAGAGATTTAAGTCTGATAATGCAAAAGACTACTTCAACCAGAGTCTATCCACCTATTTCCAAAAAGAAGGGATTATCCATGAGTCATCTCGTGTTAATACTCCACAGCAGAATAGAATGGCAGAAAGAAAAAACAACCATTTACTAGCCACAACCCGAGCCTTCCTTTTTCAAACAAATGTACTTAAATCTTACTAGGGGGAAGCTGTTCTCAGTGCCACACACATTATAAATAGGTTACCTTCAAGGGTTTTGGGATCCAAAACTCCTATAGAACTACTCTCACAATTTTATCCCAACCTCAATACCACAAACAATCTCACACTTAGGATATTTGGTTGTACATCATTTGTCCATGTTCACAATCATAACAACGGAAAGTTGGATCCAAGAGTGATTAAGTGTATTTTTGTGAGGTATTCCTCAACTCAAAAAAGATAAAAGTGCCATCATCCTCCTACCAAAAAATTATGTGTCTGCAAATGTTACTTTTGAAGAAAGTAAACCATTTTTTACTCAACTTTATCTTCAAGGGGAGACTTCATTCATGGAAGATAAGGATAAAGACTTCTTTTTGCTTGATTTGTCCCCTTCTTCAACATTTACACCCATTAATTCTTCTGTGTCGAAACCTATTTCTGCTGGGCCCAAGTCAAACACTGAATTTGAGTGTGAACCCATTCCAAATATAGAAGATATGACAAAAGATACTATTGTTCTTGATTCTATGAAGGAATTACAAGTGTACTTAAGAAAGAAAATTTCAGATCCTGAACTAGTGCCAGTCCAAGAACCTGATCCTAACATTAGAAATGAGGTAACTATAGTTTTTGACTATGTTTCTCAAAATGAGCATGAATCTCCTAAAACTATAACCAGTGATTATGATCTACCTATTGCTATTAGGAAAGGAACCAGAGAATGTGCTAAGCATCTACCATACCTAATCTCTAATTTTGTGTCATTTGAAAAATTCTCACCATCCCACATAAATTTTCTTGTGAGCCTAAACACTATTTTTGTTCCAACAACATTATCTGAGGCATTATCCGATGAGAAATGGAGGCAAGCCATGAAAATAGAAATGGAGGCCTTAGAGAAAAATCAAACATTGGAACTAGTAGAGTTGTTTAAAGGAAAAAATCCAGTGGGGTATAAATGGGTTTTCACTGTAAAATACAAGGCAGATGGCACTGTTGAAAGGTATAAAGCCAGGTTAATGGCTAAGGGCTACACTCAAACCTATGGAGTGGATTATCAGGAAACCTTTGCTCTAGTTGCCAAGATCAATACAGTTAGGATTTTGTTATCATTGGCTGCAAATTACAATTGGCAGCTTCAACAATTTGATGTAAAGAATGCTTTTTACATGGTGATTTGAAAGAAGAAATATATATGAAGGTTCCACCAGGATTTGGAGGTCATCTAGATGCAAACAAAGTATGCAGGTTGAAAAAGGCTTTATATAGCCTTAAACAATCTCCTAGGGCTTGGTTCGGGAGATTTGCCAAAGTGATGCTAGCAATGGGATATAAACAGAGTCAAGGAGATCACACATTGTTTATCAAGCACTCTGATTCAGGGAGAGTCACAGTTCTATTAGTGTATGTTGATGATATAATTGTAACTGAAGATGATGAAAAAGAGAAAAAATCTCTAAAACAGTGTTTGGCTAGAGAATTTGAGATAAAAGAGCTAAAGAGATTAAAGTACTTCCTAGGAATTGAAGTAGCTCACTCACAACATGGTATCTTCATCTCACAACAGAAATATGTGATGGATCTTCTGAAGGAAAGTGGGCTCGCATGTAAACCTGAAAATACCCCTATAGATCCTAATCATAAAATTGGAGAAGCTAATGAAGATGCTACTGTAAATAGAGAGATGTATCAAAGATTAGTTGGAAGACTCATTTATCTCTCACTTACTAGACCTGATATAGCATATGCTGTGAGTGTGGTAAGTCAATTTATGAATAGTCCTAAAAAAGTGCACCTATAGGCTGTCTACCGTATATTGCACTATTTGAAGGCCAATCCTGAGAGAGGTATCTTATTCAAAAGAAATTCGAGGCTAGTTCTAGAAGCATATACAGATGCTGATTATGCAGGTTCAGTAACTGATAGAAGATCCACCTCAGGCTACTGCACTTTCTTAGGTGGTAATCTTGTGACTTGAAGGAGTAAAAAACAGAATGTGGTGGCAAGATCAAATGCTGAAGTAGAATTCAGAGCAATGGCTCAAGGAATTTGTGAACTACTATGGTTAAAAATTATCCTAGAAGACTTAAAGATCAAGTGGGATGGACCAATGAGACTCTACTATGATAACAAGTCTGCAATAAGCATTGCACACAATCCTATGCAACATGACAGAACAAAATACATTGAAGTAGACCGGCATTTCATAAAAGAGAAACTAGACAGTGGGTTGATTTGTACACCTTATGTATCAACCAAGGGTCAACTTGCAGATGTGTTAACTAAAAGCCTCAGCAGTGCAACATTTCAAGAAATTATTTCCAAGCTGAGAATGGAAAACACCTATTCATCAACTTGAGGGGGAGTGTGGGAAAACACTTATTTACAACTAATTGTAATCTTGTAATCTGTATATTTATATTTGTATCTCTAGAATTAAGTATTTGTATCCCTAGAATTAAGTACAAAAAATTAGGATAGATAATCCCTCAATTATAGGATTAGTTTTTTAGGAAGATTTAGTTTCCTAGTTTAACCCCTAGTTAGTTGTATATAAACCTAAGGTTCTTGTATAATTCTTTATGAGCAATTTTTCAATATACATTCAATTTCCGCACTGATTTATTTCTTAGTTTTTCCACACCTCCCCCAAAAAAAAAAAAAACTCCAAAAAAAGGAAGAAAGAAACAAAAGCCAAAATAATAGAAAACCAAACATATAACAACACTTGCAATCACATACAAATGACACTAATGACAATAAAGATAATAAGGCACAAGTACCTAAAATACAGCACATGGTCATGCGCATGGCAAACTATGAAGTCAGACATTGCATCATTTACACGAAGTTTTCCAACAGATTTACCAATTGTTCCACGATTTTGAAGATTAAAGGTGTTAGGCTTCATCCGCTTAACATAACCTTTTTCACTGAATGCCTAAAAAGAATATACACAAAATTAAGAGCAAAACCATACATTATGATATTCAAACATGATGTAAAATGAATTGAGAAAGAAGATGATTTGGGTCACATGGAGAACTCAATTTCATCATTTACCAGTAGCATCTCTTCATTTGGAATAACATCTATGTCCTCAAGTTGGCCGCCATCTGAATCCTCCAATATTGAACGTCTTGGATTAGAAAACTTGTTCTTTAGCTCAATTGCTTCTTGTTCTATTAACTAAAACAACAGGTTTGAAAAGAATATTAGAAAGACAAGAAACTAGAAAATTGCAGAATACTTGAAACAGGTTTAGATCACCATTAGAGAGTTGTGCCCATTTGAAAAAATACACCTATCAACTATTATTTCATTTCAAAATTTGAAAGGCTGCTTTTGCATAAACAAATTACCAAAATATTGGAGCAAATAGAACTTCAGAGCTTCTCAGCAGGACATCCATAAATTTGATAGAAACAGCCATTACCAAAAATTTATGGGCAAAAGTGGCATGTGGCATGGTAATGTAACTAAACAATAAACTGCACTAACAGTTTGAATAATTAACTCAGAAAGAAATAAATTGGTCAATTTCAGCCTATAAGGAAAAGTGAGTACATATTTAAAAGCAATGTGTTAACAAAATAGTTAGTTAATATTGGAGAGATCAACCTTAGATCAGACTCCAAGAAAGTAGTAGAAACATAAAGATTTTCTCTTTCTTTTCCAATATTCTTTTGTTATTGTGTTTCAAGGAAGGGATGATATTTTTATGTCAAACACAACGCATTAGATCATAAGTTTCTTCATTCAATTAATTTATGTGTTCAGAATAGCACATGAAACAAACTAAATGTCGAGATTTTATGTTGAACCTAACAGTATCATATGCAAATGTAAAAGCATCCATCGATCATTGATTAGTTTTTCAAGCATCTTAACGATGAAAAAGTCTGGAATAAATCAGAATAATATAGCTTACACTATAAAAAGTTACCTGCAATATATTTTTCCGGCTTGATAATAGTTCAGTTAGCTTTGAAATTTGTTCCATTAATGATTTACTTTCATCAATAAACTTTTTGCGCTGCAGAATAATGAATATATGACATCTTTCAGATGACATAATTAGCAAATAAAATAACCTAAGAAGCAATATTGAGAAATAGATTCCTAACTTACAATAGAAATTGCAGCTACATACCTCAAGAAGGTTAAGTCGTCTTAAGTTTATATCCAATATTGCCTCAGCTTGTTTGTCAGAAAGATTGAATTCTGCATAAAAAAATTGAACCATTTGTAGTGATGGGAGCTTTCTATAATGATATCTTTTTTTTTTTTTTGGCAGAAATCTAAACTGAAGCCACATAAAAACCAGCCCCTTCAATTTTGGAGAAAAAACCTAGCCAATGATACCCTTGTTTGATGGTAAAAGGGTAACATGGGGCCCTACAAGATTCAAAGTTCAAATCTGCTACCATAGAGTGTTTAACTTCATTGTTAAATATTCCAAAACAAAAAAAGGAAATTTGCTCCCTGATGATATTTTGTGTGTATCACAAACCCAGTCGAAATCTATTAATATCAATTTTCACATTCATTAAAGATAACCAAAACCAATATCAACGCAATGCAACTCAAATAGAGAATGAATGATAATTAGATGTGGTCAATGAATGATAATGAAATAATAAATCAGTATCAAAACCTTAGTGCGAAACAAAGCCCAAAATACAAAAGAATAACAAACAAGGGAAAAGAAAGAAGTAACAAGCTTCCATTCCTAAGCAAGATAGAAAAGATAAGACCCTCAACTGACAGAGGAAGATATTTATAGGAAACAAAAATAGGGTATGAAACCACAACATCCACATTCGAGGTTCTAACTTGCCTTCATAATTGTATATTAACTTTCTTCCTAGCTTGCCCAAAAATTGGCTAAAAGGCTTCTTCAAAATGAAACCACAATATTCTTGTTACTAAGATGCTTTGTACAGCCTATCTGTACCCAGCATAATTTTCCAAAAAAATAAAGAATCATCTAGTAGTTGGTGTCAATTTAAAAATTGACTACATAAACACTAGTGGGAAACGGAATAGTAAGACACATAAGCAATGACCAAAATGTTATATTAAACATGATGTCAAAATGCATCAAATTTCATTAGATAAAGATAAAACCAATCATTGAGGATGCAGCACAAGAGGAGTTTCTTTTTTCTTCTGTTGTCTATTAATTATATGTGAAAGAAAAAGACCATGCAATCAGAAAGAAAGTGGAAGAAATATATAAGTTAAAAACTGAAGGGGCTAACCATTCCTTAGGCCAGCTGAAGCAGCTGCATTGCTTGAAGCCTTTTTGATTATATCAATCACTCTATCCAAATTATCAAGCCCTACCACAATACCCTGAGTGCATATGCAAAATTGAAAAGAGTGAAACATGAAAATTAGCCACCTCTGGAAAATGGTGATATTAAATGGAATCACCAGCAAAAATAAAAATATACCTAATGTCAAAAGAAATTAAGGTTTTCAGTAGATGGGATGCCCAAGCACCTTATTTTTCTTAGTCTTAAATGTTTTTGTAGACATACCTCGACAATATGCCTTCTATCCTGGGCTTGTGAAAGCTTGTACCTTGCACGTCTGTCAACAACAGAGCATCTAAATTCTAAGAATGCCTGACAAAGAAACAGAAAGAGATAAATAAAAGATGCTAAGACTCAATAATATAGGAACTGCAAGGAAGAAGAACAAGAGTGAAAATTGAAGATAAAATGGCATGAGACGCTTATCTGTTAAAAATGTTGCCATAGAGCAAGGCATAGGAATGTGCAAATAATGTATTGTATATACATACAGAAACACGCATGCATAATACCAACATAAAACCACAAATGAACACACATTTTGCCATAGGGGCTAGGCCAAGATATAGAGCTGTTCTATGTGCACTAGAAACTAACGAATGCAATACACAAATTAGTAGAATGACAGTAAATATATAGTTAGAGGCACAAATGAAAAGTGATGAGTGCAGCTTGCATGTCCAAATTTATTACAAATCACACAGTTTTAGCAAATTAGTTGTGCAATGATAGTGACTATATAATTACATACATGATAAAAAAGTAATGAGCCCACCCTGCATGTCCTAAGCCACCATTAATTCCGTTGGAGACATGCCAAAACTACTTGCTAATTACATATATTATTCAATTTCACACTTTTGAGGAGAGAAACAAGGCACTTAAATAGGGCCTACTTTTCTAAACTTATAAAGACCAGATAAAATAAGACAATTTGGATACTAATGTAAAAAGAACATGATAACCGTAGGTATTTAACATGTAAGAAAATTTTGAATTCAGTTAATACAAAACTGGAATTAGACGTAAAGCATCAAAAACTCACCTGAAGCAACTCTTTCAGACCCATCTGCTTTGGCTGTCCATCAAGAATACTGTAATACAAGGATTTGCAAGATGTATTCAACGCATGATCACCACATAAGGGTGACATAGAATTAAAATTAGAATATCAATTACAAATGTAAACAACCAACTTTCAATATGAAAAGTCTGATGTCACTGTTCCAAACAATTCATCACATCGTTGTCCTCTTAACAATTCATCACAATTCGTCACATGGATATGCTTTACATTGTACAAGGAATTTGCAAGTAAAACTCAGTGTTGGCATGTATTGGAGAAATCAAGACACCTATCTGAAATTAAGCTTTTAGTTACAGTCGATTAATTTTAGAACCATGATTGTCATGTAGACAACAAACATAAGTTATGTGTTTGTAACTCTCACATTACAGAAGAAACACAATAGTGATATATCATTGTTTTGGGTTCTTATGACACCTTATGTGAAAGAGAAATCTATCCACGTATAACCAACTCATTATAGCTAAGCTAGCCACCACAAAGTTTGATGTGATATAAAAGCAAGTGCAAGCAGTTTTGTTGGTCCCATGTGAAAGGCTAGTTGGTGCAGTACATTCTTGCAAAATTTGGAAGAATGTTTATTTGTTCTAAATCATTAGTTACTCCATTGCATAAAATTCACACCACATCATAGGCCTATTATCCCTTCCATGAAGTTGCATAACATATGATAAGTCCATTGTCTCAAAGCACGAGGAAGAGTGTTAACTGGTGACTAAATCAATTTCAAACTGGTCAAGTTTGGAATATCTTGTGACCTTATATTACATATGGGAGACATCTCAGATTCTGACCAATTAGTTCTCAGTAGAGCATTGAACACAAATTTGGAAAGTATAAAATGAAAAAGCATGCATCATTCAAGAACTTTGAATCATCTATACTTATAAATTAATCCAATATTAAGTTAATATTCACAAAGTTGAGAAAAATATCTTAGCTGATAATTTATTAAAGAAATAGTAGAAACATGGCATCTTGACTCCCATCCATAGTCAGAAAGATAATAGATAAACTACTCACCCCACCATATTGCAGCTAAAACTAGACTGAAGAGCAGTTAGCCGATAAAGATTATTCAGAATAATAGATGGGTCAGCTCCCCTTTTAAGCTGTGGCATGAATTAAAAAAACAAAGATCAGGACAGGTGTCTTTACCAACCGGAAATTAAAGGAACTGCACAACATCCAATATATCATACCTCGATGACCACACGCATTCCAGAGCGATCACTCTCATCACGAATATCATTGATACCCTCTAGACTCTGTTTAGAAAAAAAGGATCATAATAAGATAACACGTATAATTTGATTAATTTCTATAATGTCAATCCACAATAAATTAATGTTTATTGGAAGTCAAATACTCTATTCAAGTAGCACAATACATGGAGTAACAATGAAGATGATTCATTGAGTTAAATTCCAGAACCAGGCGTCACAAAAACTTAAGGGATAAATATCAAACTTGCCACTATACTATGTCTCAAATCTCAATGTTGAACTTTGCCACTATACTTTTCTTTTCAATAATTTTTGGACAGGAATTACCACTGAAGGAATATCAATCTACGCAATTTTAAAAAAGTTTCGAAGAAGCAAAAACATGGAATTTCACATTGGATCTCTCTGCCACCTTCATGATTGTGAAGCAGCTATTGTCAAATTTGACATGACAATTCTGCTTCTCCAAACTTATTTATTCTGCATCCACAGAATATTCCTCACCATTAGATTTGTCCAAAATAAAGGTATGGTGGAAAAATTCAACAGAATTGAAGTACAGTGGCAAAATTCAACACTGAGCCATCGCATATTGAAAATTTTAGTTTTTAATTAAAACTCAACTAATACATCAAGAGCTGTTGGAAAATATGTTTGAAGTGTCTGAAAATAATGCACTAGACCAAATTTTACCAGTTCCCTTGAAAATGGTCAAAGGAAAACCATAATTAAAAGCTCCAAAACCTCATAGTAAAATCCTCAATGTCAATCAACTGGAACCTAAAATAATGGAAAACAAGGCAGCGATGTTTCTACTATGGCATTTATAGTAAATATGAAAACATACATCAAGAGCTTTAACTTGTTATGCTCGCACCATTCATGTTTTAGTGCCCGTATACCCTTTCTCAGTAATTGTAAAATAAACATATGTTTTAATATTTACTATAAATGCAATCAAGTTTTCAAATTTTCTCTAGGGAAGGCAATGGATTAGAAACTTGTAGCAATGAGACTACACATTATTCTAAGTTGATTTATATTTGTTTAAAAAGGATAGGAACACTTATTAACTGAGATATAATGACCTCTGCTTATAAATTTCACTAATTATATAACTTGAGCACTTTGAAGACCCCTGAAGAGAAGGGTGTGTTATATAATAAACAATCTCATGTCCCTAATTAAGCACCTTCATAGCGGACCATCAGCACTCTGTGCTCATGATAGAGAGAATGGCAGGGAATTGAAAACACATGCAGTGTATTCCAAATTCAAGCTGGGTTATTAAGGAGTGGTTAAAACAAAACATAGACAGTGCCCAAAGCATATATTTCCCTCTTGTTATTCAATTTGAAACATGATGAAGGTATACTTTTCCCTTCACTCCTCTTACATCCCTTATTTTTCCTCATTTATTGCAAGAGAAATAGAAGCTTAAGAGAATAAAACTATAAAAACATAAGGGACCAACTTGCCACACACTTCAAAGAACAGAAACATTTATCACAGACCTTTGATGAAAGCATAGAAATTAACATTCTCAAATAAGATGGCAATACCTTATTCTCAACAAGTTCAGCAATCTTCTCAACAAGCGAGGATTTGTTTGTCTGATAAGGAATCTGTTTAATTCCCAAAACATTAAATAAGAAGAGCTCCCAAACCAACCATGTACAACGTGAGAAAAATTAATATCCACAACTGATGCAACAAAGATAATCACCTCTTTAATAATAACTACACTTCTCTTAGTTTTAGAGTCAAGCCATTCAATGTCAGCCTTTCCTCTGACTACAATACGCCCTCGCCCAGTTTGATATGCTTCTAAGATCCTTAAAAAAGTAATCAATATCAGAACACTTCATCACATATAGTTTGATGTATTCCACCAGAATCAACACAAAGCTATATAAAAGTGACAAGAAGCAATTTAGACAAAGCTTTTGCCACTTTGATTCTTCTAGGAATTGCAATTTAGTTGGGATTCAAGCTCAGGTCTATTGAGTTTAATTTGTTAACTTTTGAAATTGGTTCATGTTGTGAAGTCAGGTTTCAATTTTCAAGCTGTTCATTCAGATTGTTCCGCTTTCCAACCTCTAATGTTAATGCGGTCTTCAGATTAATTACTGTTATTTGGTTATTCAAAAGAGATTTGATTTGGTACAATTAGATTCAACAATTAGGTGATTCCTAAGATTATTTAGCTTTTATCTGTATGCACCCTATATTAAAGGAGACCTTTTCATTAAGCTACATCAATACTAATCGTGAACTTGAAGTCCTAGACAACTTAATCCTTCAGTTAGCTTCTATCCATCATCCATCACAGTAATGATCCTCCTTTTATGAGCCCTAAACTGAAATGCCTCAGAAATTAGAGTAGGACAAGTAAATCCTAGCCTTGGGCTAGCAAGGGAAAGACTTTCACCAAGTAAGGCAGTCACAGTAATCACAAATCCAATGGTTGTTGCAACAACTGTAACAATGCCACATATATTTTAAACTGAATCGGCCATCATTCTGCCATTTCAAACTAGTCAGTTTAACTAATAGTAACCAGTTCTGCCAATTCATTTCTATCAAGTGTACACCAGTATTACAATAGATTCCATCTATAACAAAAGTAACACAATCCGGTGTCTAACCCCATATCCAGAAATTTAGGCATACATGCCGTCCATCTTTTTGGAAATGAACTATAACACAAAAACTTTAGCACAAGCAATGCATCATGAGAATATCTAGTAAACCCTCCCAGCAAGAAGTCCATCAACACCAATTACAACCCCAAAAAAGAGACAAAAAATCACTGAGTTACTGAGTGAAGATAAAAGCTTCATATCCTAATGCTTATTCATGCAAAATAAAGGGGCTTTAATTTTGGTTTCTTCCCCAGTCAGGGGGGACTAAAAAGTAACTCACCCAAGATTTCCCATTATTAACCCTCCAGTTGGAAAATCAGGTCCAGGCATATATTCCAACAATTCTTGTAACTGAGACAAGAAAAATAAATATGAGAACTGGAAATCAAAATAAAAACAAACAGCAGAACCTCCAAAACAATAATGATTATATAGGTTATGAGTATATTAAGGTAGATTATAGAATATGCATATAAAATAAAGCTCATCTATGCCTTAAGGGGTATCAAAGTGAACATATAGCAATCAAAAGTACGCATAACAATCCAGAAGCACAGAAAGGTCAAAATGTCGAAATATGGTCTAACATGCATAAGCTTTGCAGACAATGAATGTTCGATCCTACTACTACAATTCAAAAGAGAAACTTCATTGTCAACTAACTAAAGGAATCAGACCAGTCCATCTTAGGATATTTTAGACAAACTGCAGAACAGTTTATCCAAATTTGACACCTCAAAGCCCACTAGGCCCATAATAAAGTTGTCAATTTCTTTGATGCAAAGACAAGACAGATGATAGCATCTATGTAGAATTAAAAAAAATCTTTCATCCATCACTTTGGAAACATTTGAATGTCTGTTTGAAAACAACCATTACAACTCAGAAATGCATTTTTTGTAAAGTAGCCATACTCCAGCCACAGCTAAAAACCTCATAAATTTAAATATAGGCCATAATATCTCAAAAACAACTGTAAAAGAGCTCTGCACCACTTAATTCAAGATCCAACCAATAAGTTGAAAACACTAAATCTTCTTGATTATTGTCATAAGTAGGCCAGGCCTAGAAATTTGCTCATTCTTGAAACATATTGCAAGAATAAAACTGGAATTAGATATGGCACTGTAAGAATTAGCAACGAATATACTCGACAAACAAAACCTCCTTTTTTCCTTTTTTGGTATAGAACAGAATCATCATGAATAATTCGCCTCTGCAGCAAAACATAAAATCTGTTTAACAATTATAGCTCATCCACTAACAACTACTCTCTCTGAGCTGACCAATCATGCCAACTCAAATAAGATAATTGAGCTTCCTTCAGGCCTCCCAATATGATAAGTACACATCATAATAGGATATTCCTATGAACAAGCAGTAACTAAATGAAAATAATCCGCTGCAAATTTCAACTTATATTAGATAAATACACGAACAATTAAAAAGTGAAAGTGCCAATATGTAACCATAAAACAATTTCAGAATTTCTACCATTTCAGTGAGAATTTAGCACTTACTGAGGCCTCTGGATTATGAATTAATGCGCAGAGCACATCTACCAACTCTCCAAGATTATGAGGAGGAATGTTAGTTGCCATGCCAACCTGCAATTCATAACTATCTTATATTGATATTTCACTCAATTTTTAAATGAAAAATGTGAAATAATTATAAACAGTAGCTGCAGTTGATACCATATAGGCATATGTACAGATGTATGTATGCACACACGTAAGTACATGTGTGTGCATGTTTGTGTCTGTGTCCTGGAATGAATGTAGACATGTAAAGATCAATCTCTGATGAAAAAGAAAATCAGATGTACTCACCGCAATTCCAGAGGAACCATTCAACAATAATGTTGGTAGTCTAGCAGGCAGAAGTGATGGTTCTTTGTATGAACTATCAAAGTTTGGAACAAAATCAACCTGCAATAAAATTAATGATAAAATTGCTAACAGAAGTACTGAAAATTTTAGCATCACAGCTTTGAATAACAATGTGGTAAGCATTAAAGACCAGAACTTGCCGTATCTTGCTCCAGATCTGCCAACAAGATTGCTTCTGTGAGTGCCTGCAGGAACAATTTTGAAGCAAATGACTACAGAGTGCAAAACTTATAAAATCAAGAATATTGAACAATCAATCTGGTACCAATGACAGCATGCTTCTAGCATTGGAGAGTGCAATGGAAATTTAAAGCTCTAACCAATAAATTAAGAAGAAACTAAGCGATAACTACAGATTTTTACTCACAAATATTACGATAACAAGTTAAAACATTAAAATTAGCGTATACACATCAATATCTTTCATGATACTGCAAACATATATATAACTTTGCACCTAAGATAACAGGTTCAACAAACCTCAACACATTCTACCACACACACACCCCCTCCCCCTTCTGAATAGGCCAATAGAGAAATAAATAAACAGAGACTAAAACTTATAACAGTACAATAAATATTACTATTAGAACTTTCAATACTTCTGAACTTTTAATAACTTTTTGTGTTTTTGTTAATTTAACATTACAATTGATAGTACATTCATATAGAATGCATGTAAATCTTCAAGTTGAAAAAATTACTGACTATTTCATTGGCATCATGAAACTTTCAACCATTAAATATTTGATATAAAATACATATTTTTTAATTCATGTGATATAAATATCAAATCAACTTGAAATTTGACATCCACAACAAATATGAACAGTTTGAATCTGGTGGTTGATTTGATAAAAGATTAACTATTCAAAGAATTACAAAAATGGTTCAGTTGTTATGCCAGTGTACTTTTATGTCAACATCTCAACCCTCCTGGATATATACCAGCACATTGGAAACACAGTTAAAGATACGGCATGAGATGATTGGGATTAGAGTAGAATTGCAATAAATTTTTGACAACCCAAGCCATTCCCTCTGCATTCTGTGTACGTGCTAAAAAGAGACTACATTTCATGGGTCGTGTAAAAACTTGGATACATTTTTTAAACAATTAAAACATTTGAATTAAAAAAATTGGAGTAAAAATTGATGAGACCAAATCATAATTTCTCTACATTGGAAGGTAAACAAGCCATGGAAAAAATAGAAGAGTTAATAGGTAAGAATTTAACTAGCATATCTGCTTTTGATCTCTTCAAACGTGAAGAGATTTGGAGGGAAAATATTCACCCACTATAATCTCTTCAACTTTCCAAATAAATCCCTAAAACATAAAAGTTTGAGTCATTTTTTTACACAGGATAAAAAAGTTCAAATGTATCAAAACATGTATCCTAGAAGCAATCAATCCATTATATAGACATCTTTGTAAGGGTACATGTGCATGTGGTAACAGCAAGCACAGAATAAGTAGACCAATATATCCTTCTTATTAATAGTTAAAAACTTTTAAACTGGTATGCACATCTGATGCAAGCCATAGACTGTACACTAAAAGGATATTCTAAAGTCATAACTCCAACACTCCCGTAGTAAGGGTACACTAACATGTCAGTCTCCAGCTTATTTGTCTACAACAATATCAATGAGAAACATGTTTAATGTGAACGAATGGAGCTGCAAACATCAAGTAGGATGTGAAAGCAATTGCCATATTTGTTATTAGGAAATTAGAGAAATGGACTAGTCCTCACTTCGAGCATCCCAGAGAATAAAAGCATCAGTTGATCTTTTTGTCAACTGATTGTCATTGAAAATTGAAATTACTTACTCTAAAGTGAAGTGATTTTAAGGAAACAGGCCAAACATTTTTTCTTTTTTCAAGATAATAAAACTTAGGGTTCAAATAATATGCGTTTTCTATGTAACTTCTAGGTCAAACTGTTTACGAAAATTTAAGGCTTCATATATTAATACTAAAACCAATGCTTTTTTGAATCTTCTGTCTTGCTTGCTTCTCCATGCCTAATGCAGTCCACATCCTAACTGATATCTCCCTGTATAAACTATTTTTATCATTAATGAATAAAAGTGACTAGAACATTCATTAATGAATACAAGAGACTAGAAACATGCTTTTTATCTGAACAGAACTAAATATTATTCCTAAACCAAAAAGTTCTAAATGACAAAACAGTAACTCATTGCAGAAAAGAGTAAAATAAACCATGAAAGTCCCAAAAAGGAGTTAGTTTTGAGGAGTGATCAAATGGCCATCTTTTAACCTTGTTAAAATAAATTATAACTTCTCACTAGATTGGACAAAAGCCTTTGGGTTGAAAACTTAAAAAGTTAAACCTACAAGCACTAATAATGAATGATAAAAACAAATTGCTAGCTTTTAACAAAAATCTAAAGGAAACAAAGGTAGGAGGAGAAAGTTTATTGCAATGATAACCAAAGCTGATAATACAAAAATTCATATAGGAGGTTTTCCATATTAAACTAGCAGGACAATTTTCCAAATGTATCATACTCTTAGCTTAAGACTGTCTCCATGTGAAAAAGGCATTGATATCCTAAAGTGGTTTCCTTATTTCCTACATTAAAGCACTCACAAGACACCAACTGTTGCAAACACAAGGACAAGGGAAATGCATACGGTCATGTCAAGTAAGCTTTCATTTTCAAAAATTAGTGGTTAAGTTTTGAGACTAATTAAACCTAAGATGTAGTGAAATGATTCTGCATGTAGATCTCTTACTTAATCAGGACTTGTACAATGTGAAGAAAATTCTTTCTCCAACATCCTATTGTTCAAGTAAGTTTAATGCATACTATCTTATCAGGTATGAATTTTCATTCTTTACATTTTAGAAGTATTTTCCTAGATATTACCATGGAGTCATCTGATATATCTCTCCATATGAAACCTATCCATTTAGAAATGGATCCAACTTCCAACGGCGCAGCTAACATCTATTCTTAGTAAGGTAGGCTATCATCAAAAAGGTGGTGCAACTACTTTGTTTGAGGGTCAGTTTAGACTCAAAAGAAAAAGGAAAGGAATATAAATATTAAAATTATAAAAAAAACGGCGGACCTAATGTCTTCAGCAGCTCAGTGACTTCGAATTCTATTATATTTGAAACGTAAGTTATTTTTATGCGTTTGTAATTTTATTAACCTTCCCATTTTTCTACCACAAAGCAACAGAATGAAAATGTGACAGTGATTGCACAAGTATAAGAGTCCAATCAACACTATAAAAGAAGTGGTTCCTTGACTTCCAGTTCTTTTTCTTTAATTAATGATAAATAAAGAAGATTCACTATTTTAAGACAGTAGCATTCAAGCAAAGATTTAAGAGTCCCAAAATCATGTTTAAGAGGAGGAAAACTTTAAACATACTTCAAGTCTGCACTCAGTGTAGCGCATGGCAGCAGGAGGATCTGCATCAATTGAACCAAAATTTCCATGTCCTTGGATAAGTGGGAATCTCAAGGAAAAATCCTGGAAGAAAGATAACAAACAGTTAAAATAAATCATGGACAAAGAGAAGCCCATAACCAAATCAAGCAAAAATCAGCAAAACATGCAGAAAACAAATTCATAGTTACCTGTGCCATTCGCACCATGGAATCATAAACCGCTGTATCTCCATGAGGATGAAACTTACCTAGGACCTGAAATGGAGGCATAAAAAATAGAAACAGTTAAACAATGCAGATAATTAGAAAACAAGCTGCCGAGTAGTAATGTATGAAGAACGTGTCTGACATTTCAGTTAAAAAAAACACAAGTACAGTCAAATGTTTTACCTCTCCAACAACTCTAGCACATTTCTTGAATGGTTTTCTAGATGAAAGACCTAATTCATGCATTGCGAATCTGTTTGCGATGGAACCAAAAGCCATGTTAGTGAATATACTTGAAATAACTACATGGCTATGGATATAAGCGCAGACCAAGAGGCACACAGCATTCAAATTATATAAATACATACAGAGAATATGTTTGTTACTCCAAAAATAAAATTAAAAAAAAAAAACGTGAGCACATATTCCAACAACAAATGAGAACCGATTCAAATATAAATCTTAAAAACTAGATACAAATATTAAAACTCCAAATAAATTACTTACAAGATCCTCCTATGCACTGGCTTCAAACCATCCCTAACATCAGGCAAAGCCCGTCCAAGCAACACGGATAATGCGTAAGCCATATATGATTCTGTAGCCTCCTTGTGGAGTTCGGCCGGAACCACCCGCCCATCTCGGCCACCGCCGCTGCCATCTTTGACAACGGCCGTCAAGCTTCCATTTCCTTCCCCACTCTCGTCGCCTTGCCCCCCACTGCCCCTTGCTTTGACGGGGTGGGGGAAGGAGCGAGCACGGGAGGATGAGAGAAACCGGAGGTGGGAGGCGTTACGGCGGAGGATGGAGACGCGAGAAGGGGAGAGGAAGAGGTTGTGGCGGAGGAAAGAAGAGAAGCGAAGAGTGGAGGTGAGAGCCATTGAGAGTGAAAAAATTTGTAGGGTTTAGCGGTGGATTTTGTAAAACCCTAAAAGAGTGAGAGACTTTTTGGTGGGTTAGAGCGCGCCAATTCTTTTGGATTAATGGGTGTCCGGAATTTTATTTTCCCTTTTTTTTTTTTTTTTTTTTTTTTAGAATGGGTTTTGCCTAATGAAATTTAGAATGGATTTTAATATGCTGTGTCCAACGCCTTTTCACATCATTTAGGTTTAGTTAAAAGTTTAAGGATGCTGTTATTTACACCTTAGATTTTTCTCTACAGACCGTAATTTTTTAAGTTTTAATAAAAGAGTAGGATTATTTGCACCCCAAAAACTTTTAATACATCTTAAAATTAATCAAATAAAAAATTATTTAAATATTTATTAATTAATTTTTTTGTCCTTTACATCTATTTTCAGTAGGTTATCAAAAATAAATTTTTGAAAACTTTTTGATTGTATCAAAAATATATTTTCGAAAACTTCTTAATTATATCAAAATTTTATTTTTGCAATTATCCAAAAATACATTTCGTGAAGTAATTTTTTTTTTTTATGATTTTCAAATGGGTTTATAATGATATCTCTAACGTATGCAATATTTAATTTCGATAGTAAAAATTTCTAACCTTTCGACCATGCACTGCGCGTTTAATAATGTTCGAAACATTTATCAATTATAGCAAATGTGCATTTGAAATGAATTGTCAATTGTGAAAAAAGCTAGTGCAAGTGGCTACTACACCATATGCGATGAGGCAGTCACGTTACATCGCACATGGGGTAACATTCAATTTGTATGAGCGCCTCTTCACATTTAGCAATTCACCTTAGATATACGTTTGTCAAAATTGCAAAATGTTGCAAACGTTATTGAATGTACAGTGCCTGATGGCCAAAAAATTAGAAGTCTCTATTAATGGATTTGCCAGTCTATTTATGACATAATAAGGCCAATTCTTATATACTGAAAAGTTATTTGGTTTCTATTGGTGGTCAAAAGTTATTGTGTACCAAATGCTCTTAAGGCGTGTAAGTGCAGCTAAAGCAAAAAAGATTCATGAGGAAGTACATAATGGGGTTTGTAAGGCACATACGAATAGTCATATGATGGCTAGACAAATTATAAGGGTCGATTATTATTGGTTAATAATGGAAAGTGACTGTATTGATTATGCTAGAATATGGCATAAGTGTCAAATTTATACTGACAAGACTTATGCTCTTTCATCAACATTGCACATTTTAGCTATTCCATGGCCATTCTCTATGTGAAGCATAGATGTCATCAGTCTCGTCACTCTAAAAGCTTTGAATAGGTATAGATTCATCTTTGTGATAATTAATTATTTCACGAAGTGGGTAGAAATTGCATCATATGCTTGTGTGACTTGATTTATGGTGTGAAAGTTCATGAAAAAATAAATAATATGTAAAATGGGCTTCCAAAGATGATTATTTCTGATAATGCCAAAATTTTGAATAGCAAAATGATGAATGAAGTGTGCATTTAGTTTAAGATCTATCATTATAATTTGGCACAATATTGTCCGAAGATTAATGAAGCAGTAAAAGCTGCAAACAAAAATATCAAAAGAATCTAAAAAAAATGATCGATACTTACAGAGATTGGTATGAGAAGTTGCATTTTGCCTTGTATGCTTACAAAACATCAATCCAAACATCTATTGGGACCATCATATTCTCTTTGATTTATGGAATGAAAATTGTACTACTAGTTGAAATGAAAAATTTCTCGTATAGCGTTTTGATAGAATTAGAGCTAGATAAAATGAAAGAGTTTAAAATTGCTGCAAACAGTTAAATCTCATTAAAGAGAAAAAACTTACAGTACTTTGTCATGGTCAATTGTATTAGAAGAGAATGATAAGAGCACATGATAAGAAAAATTGCCTTGTCATTTTCAATAATGAGACTTTGTGCTAAAAATGATCATTCCAAGTTAACATAATAATTAAGAAAAATGGAAACCAAATTGAAAAGGTCCATATATGATATAAAAGACCTTTTTCAGTGGGGCATTAATTTTGGCAAAAAATAGACGTAAATGATTTGCCTACTCCAATAAACTCATATGTTATGAAAAAAATTTGTTTAAAAAAAATAAAAAAATAAAAAAAAGAATGACATAACTAAGCTAAAAACTTGAAAAGGTGGCTTGGATGTAAAAGAAAAACATTATCAAAAGATGACTTTACAACACAAGGCAAATGTAGTTTAACGAACTTTGAAGAATTGAAGAAGTTATTTGATTAAGTTTTAGAGAAAAAATCTAGGAATATTTTGTTTATGACTATCTTGTAATCATTATTTGGATACCTTTGTTTCACCTCAAGCAATTTTGTTGTTATACACTTATTATTAGTTTAATTAAATATGTTTTCTTTCATTTGGAAATAATGCCATCCATTCTTTTATCTCATTCAATATCTTTGTTCACCCTACAAATGAATAGGAGAAATAGGTGACTGTATTTTGTTTATCTTGAACTTAAAATAAAAAAATAAAAAATCTCAATATTTCTTTTTAAAAGTTTACAAAGACAGATGAAAAAAAATAAAAAAAGCATGACAAGACATTGATGTTGTAGACTTCTAAAAAATATATATATAATTGAGAAATAATACAATAATAAGACATTAAGAACATATTAAGTCATATGGCAATTGTTGAAAATTTTGATAAAAAAAGCAAAAAGGCAAAAAATTTTAAGAGCCTTTTTATTATAATTGGAAATGAATATTTTTAATTGCATTACATACATTGCATCTAAAGCATTCAATACATGCATCAATCGATTATAACAAGGAAAAAAAATTTTCATTCCCTGATGAAAAAACAAAATTTTGGTATTCGGGTAAGGATAATGATAAAAGAAAATACTCTAAAAAAAGAGAAATTTGCTTTTTCAAAGATAACATATCTGTTTCGAGAAAAAATGAAAACTTTTAAAATCCTTGAGCCTCTACTTAAGGGACTTTTTTCATATGAGAATTTTAAAGTTGTTAAGCATTTGCATAAATGAGTTTTTTCAAATAAAAATTTTAAAGTTGTTAAACCTCTGCTTAGATAAATATTTTTAAATTTTAAAAGTTATTAAGCCTCTACTTAGATGAGCTATTTTAAATTTTCAAAAGTTGTCGAGCTTTTACTTAGAAAAACCATTTAAAATTTTTAAAACTTATTGAACCTCTGCTTAGAAGAGCCATTTAAAGTTTTCAAAAATTGTCAAGCCTCGAGAAAGATGATTATTTGATTTGATCTCTAAAGTTTTTTGGTATTTAATGAGAAAAGCCTTTTTATTAGTTTGTATTAATTAAAAAAAATATTTGGACTTCGAACAAAATAGTTATTTTCGTCTTTGTCCTATTATTGATCATCAACAATACACAAAAAGGGCAGTGGTAGACACCAAATTTGTCTAAATTTTTAATTGGATATTGGTTTAAAATTCATCGGGTATATTAAGTTCTCGAGTCGAGACCTAATTTCAATGCAATCAAGCCTAAGGTCTAATTTTATTTTTTAGGGCCAAGCTTACTTTTTTATTTTTACTTTTATTGGATTTTTTGTATATATTAAAATATATTAATATTAAGTATTAATTAATTAAACAAAAAAGGCAAAAAAGGGGGTTGGTGCCTGGATCCCGTGCATGACACCATTGGAACAACCTACCCTTGTGCCTCTGCAAAGCCTTATGGACCTATTGTAGTACCCATTCCCATGCCCTGACACCACCTACCTAGGCAAAAAGTCGTGACTAGAGCTCTATAAATAGAACTTCGTGGCAGCAAATTAGGGGAGATCGGGAGGAAGTCCAAAAACCTTGCCAAAAAAATAAAACACCAAACAAAAAACAAAAAAGAGAAAGGGAAACACCTTATAAAACAGTTATGCTATATTTAAAAAAAAAACCTTTTTGTCAAAAAAAAAAAAATCAAAACGAACCAAACAAAAAGCCTTAGCTCCTAGAAATGGGGATGACAACACCAAACCAAAAAGACAAGCCAAAAAACTAAAAAAAAAAAAAAAGGTTTGGCCAAAACTTTAAAGATTGATCTAGGTCGTTTGAAAATCTTTTTGGTGAAAATGAGGCTAGATTTGGAAAAAATGAGGTAATATGAGTTTTTAGATAAGTTTTAGGTTTTTCCAATGATTGACATGATGGGTGGCAAAACAGGTGACAGTAAGTGCAGTTATCAGTGAGTAACTTCACCATTTGGCTTTGTTTAAGAGAAATAGAAAAAAAAATTTAAATAAGGGTTTAAATGAATTAAAAAAAAGTTTTGATTTATGTAAAAAAAAAATTAAAATGACGTCGTTTTAGGTCTTAGGATCTACACGTGGACCCACAACCAAACCTGACCGACCTGACTCCTCATTTAGCCCTAATTGGTTCGACTGAACCGCCCCTAATCTACCCAATCAAATAAGTGTTGATAAGATCTTTAACTAATTTGGTTCAATTTTTTTAATTTTTTTATTTATCATTTTTTAATATTATTTTGGTTATTTTGAATTTTATCATGCTAAAATGTTTAAACTTTGTTAGAAAAAAATTTTGTTGTTTTTGTAATAATAACTAGCAAAAATGAAAACAAAAAAATAGATAAATAAAAATCAATAATGAAATACATAGTTAAAATTTTTGATAATTTTGCTAAAATTAAAATAAATCTTATGAAATAATAATAATAAATATAATAATGCTAACAACAATAAAAATGAAAATGATTTCTAAATTTAAAAATTTTTAAATATTAAAAAAAGAAAAATACAAAAAATGATTAATAAAACAAAAAATAGTATAAAAATTAGCAAAAATGTAAGAAATGAATTTTTATCCGACGATAAGATTCAAAAGTATTTCAAGTAATGATACCTACTTAAATATCTAAGTAAGAAATTTTTTTTAAATACTATCAATGTATGTGAGTATTTATAAAAAAATTTTAATACCATGAAAATTTTTCTTTTTTGCTATAAAATGATAAAAAAAATTTATCTGATGATGGGATTGAAAAAGTATTCTGAATGGTGATGCTTTACAAAATCTTTAGATGATAAGATTTTTTAAAAAAATATTACCAGTGTATTGAAATATTTATAAAAAATCATTA